TCACCCCCGCGCCATCACTCGCCCTGGCGCTCCAGAGGGCTGGGAGGGACATTGAGAGGGGTTTTTATTTCTCCGGCAGAATGACCGCATTTCTGTATTCTCTTGGGAATATAAGGCGCTCGGCATTTAACTCAGACGAGCTCCAACGCTCGTGGCCCGGTACCAGTAGGATCATACAAAGATCCCCCCTGTATAGCCTCAACAGACTATTGGGGCCTGGTCACGCACACACACACAACTTGCGGATTAGAAGATGCACCCCCCCCCTCCTCCCCCCAGCTTTTGCTTTTAAAACGCTGATTAATAATGGTTATTATTAATAAAACTTAAACTTCAAATTGAGCAATCTTTGGAAGAACATAATCAACCAGGTAAATAAAGTGTTAACTGTTGTGTTAGCCGACTGTTTGTGTTACTTTGCATTATATTTCTAAGTTTACGAGGTTTGTTTTCTCAAACTTCCAATTTCTCTCCCCCTGCCGCTCTCTAAATTTGAATAGATTTGTTAACTTCCAATTTCTCTCCCCCTACCACTCTCATTGACATGCTCATTTCTCTGCCCCAACCCCCCACCCCCTCTCTCTATATATAATGCCTCGTCACAAAGGCGTTGTTTATCTGCGTCTCTCTGTCTCTCCCCCATGTGTCTCTCTCTCTGTCTCTCTCTCTGGATGTGTCTCTCTCTGTGTTTCTCTCTCTCTCTGTATGTGTGTCTCTCTCTCTGTGTGTCTCTCTCTCTGTGTCTCTCTCTTTCTCTGTCTCTCTCTATTTCTCTCTCTGTGTCTCTCTCTGTACGTGTCTCTCTGTCTCTCCCCCATGTGTGTCTCTCTCTCTCTCTCTTTCTGTCTCTCTCTCTCTCTGTCTCTCCCCAATGTGCGTGTGTCTCTCTCTGTGTCTCTCTCTGTGTCTCTCTCTGTGTCTCTCTATGTGTCTCTCTATGTGTCTCTCTCTGTGTCTCTCTCTGTGTCTCTCTCTGTGTCTCTCTCTGTGTCTCTCTCTGTGTCTCTCTCTGTCTCTCTCTGTGTCTCTCTCAGAGCTTGCATTCATTCACACCTAATGATGGCTGCTTGTTGCAATCGAAACGTCGTATTCAATTATTTATTTTATTTCTACGTACCTTTACCGAGAGAACCAGAGTAATGGTTATTATATTCTGGTGAATACGGTTCGCGTGGAAAAGTAATTTAGTGATACATTAATCCTTCAGACCCCATCACCACCACCAACATCGATTCGATAAATATCAACAATTCGTGGCCACGACTCGAATCAAAAGATCACTTGTCCGTCTCGTTAACTTGTCACAGTTCGCGTTTGTTTTATATTTCTCTAATTTATACACACAAGGGCTGTATCCTAAGTCGGCTCAAGCTTTGAGCCGCTCAGCCTGATGAACGATTTGGGCTCAGCCATGGCTCAGCTCAGGGGGCTCAGCTGGTTGGAAAATCCTGAAGCGCGGCTGGGACCCCCCCCCCATCCATCCACCACTGCTCAGAGCCAGCTCCAGTTAAGCGTGTGGCTGGCTCAGCTGAAAGCAAGAGTGAAACCTGAGCCAAACTTCGCGACTGAAACGACGCGGGAGCCTCGAGTCTGTGCAACCTGCCGCGTTCGCGGGCAAAAGCTTGCGTTACAATCGCCGCCGGGCTTGGGAACACACTCGCGCTTTGCTGACACCGTACGGATTTCCCACGCCTTGTGCGTTAAAATAGCAGACAAAGATGCGCTGCGTGCATGTGTGTGTGTGTCGTGTGTGTGTGTGGTGTGTGTCGTGTGTGTGTGTCGTGTGTGTGTGTCGTGTGTGTGGTGTGTGTGTGTGTCGTGTGGTGGAAATGTAAGGCCGTGTCTCTCTCGCGTGTGTAGAGGTGTAACCATTCACTCCCTCCCTCCGTAGGTCGTCACCAGTTGGTTGGAGGGAAGGGAGGGGGCCGGTCACGATCCACTTATTACTTTATAACACTGTGGTTGAACGTAGCGGCCTTCAGTGGCTGCGGGCGTGGGGGAGGAGGGCGGGGGGAGTCAAGCGAACCCGTTATCTACAACGTACAGGGCCGCGAGCATGAGCGGATCGACACGAAAGATGGATGTCATCGTTTGCGCCTCCGAATCGTGCGTCATCACGAAATCGTGCGGACCGATCGCTCGCTCGCGCGTGCGTGCTCGGGGAGTGTAACTGGCGCGGCAAAAAAAAACCTTTCCGGGCGCGATGCCCTTTTCCGCTTACTCAAACGGACGCACGACGGGTACGGAAAAGAATCAAAGAAAAAAAATACGGGAGGAAAAAAAAAACTTGCGGTACTTTTACTATTTACAATTCTCTCATAAACATCGCTCGCGCACAACGAGAGCGGACACGGGGGGCCGTGTGTGGGGGGGGGGGGTGGGGGGTGGGGAGGGCGGGGAGGGTGGGGGGGGTGGGGAGGGTGGGGGGGGTGGTAACCTGCGCTCGCGAGCCGAGGCAGGGAGAACGCCGCTCGCGTTTGGCAGCGCGTGCGTCGAGGCCGACTGCTTTGAACAACGGGACGCTTCCTTCCCCATCGACGGTCCTGCCGATTGCAGAGCAACACACACAGCAGCAGCAACCCACCCCCCCCCCCCGCCCCCCAACTCGCCACCAAATTCCACATTACTATGGCCGGGACTAACAACAGTCGACATTCCCACACGGTTGTAATCGTCATCGTGACTATGGAGGGATGGTGGCCCGAGTGGAACCCTCGACACCCTGGATTGGAAAACACAAAAGCACGTTGAGTTACGCTGGCCTGAGCTCATTATTCATCAACCGTGGAGGGGCGCGATGGGCCAAGTGGGCCCCCCCCCCCCCCAAATGAGATCAGAATCTGCTTCTCGTCCGCGTTACAAGCAGAGCGAGGCTTAACGAATGACGGCAAGCAAATGAGGTGCAAGCCTTGCACACTCGAACCGGGGCGAGCGCTGCAAGCAAGCGCCCTAAGGAGGCCGACACACAAGGGGGTGGGGGGGCCAACAACACCAGGCCGGGCCGCCTTTGTCTCCCCAGTGCTGACGTTCACACACTGCACCAGGTGCTCATTTGAGGCTGAGTCAACCTATGCGAGGCACAGGACCGGTTCAGATAGATTCGTCGTGTTGGCTGCGAGCTGGAATGAAGCTCGGGTTCGTCGGGTTCCTAGCACGGCGCGTCAACTACTGCGCCACCACTCCCCACTCGCACGCACACATTCATACTCTCACACACACACACACATTCATACTCTCACACACACACACATTCATACTCTCACACACACACACATTCATACTCTCACACACACACATTCATACTCTCACACACACACATTCATACTCTCACACACACACATTCATACTCTCACACACACACATTCATACTCTCACACACACACATTCATACTCTCACACACACACGCACACATTCATACTCTCACACACACACACATTCATACTCTCACACACACACATTCATACTCTCACACACACACATTCATACTCTCACACACACACACACACATTCATACTCTCACACACACACGCACACATTCATACTCTCACACACACACACATTCATACTCTCACACACACACATTCATACTCTCACACACACACATTCATACTCTCACACACACACACACACATTCATACTCTCACACACACACACATTCATACTCTCACACACACACGCACACATTCATACTCTCACACACACACACACATTCATACTCTCACACACACATTCATACTCTCACACACACACGCACATTCATACTCTCACACACACACGCACATTCATACTCTCACACACACACACACATTCATACTCTCACACACACACACACAATCATACTCGCACACACACACACATTCATACTCTCACACACACGCATTCATACTCTCACACACACACATTCATACTCTCACACGCACACATTCATACTCTCACACGCACACATTCATACTCTCACACGCACACATTCATACTCTCACACGCACACACACATTCATACTCTCACACACACACATTCATACTCTCACACACACACACACATTCATACTCTCACACACACACACATTCATACTCTCACACACACACACACATTCATACTCTCACACACACACACATTCATACTCTCACACACACACACACATTCATACTCTCACACACACACACACATTCATACTCTCACACGCACACATTCATACTCTCACACACACGCACACATTCATACTCTCACACACACACGCATTCATACTCTCACACACACACACGCATTCATACTCTCACACACACACACATTCATACTCTCACACGCACACACACATTCATACTCTCACACACACACACACATTCATACTCTCACACACACACATTCATACTCTCACACACACACACACACATTCATACCCTCTCACACACACACATTCATACTCTCACACACACACATTCATACTCTCACACACACATTCATACTCTCACACACACACACATTCATACTCTCACACACACATTCATACACACACACACATTCATACACTCACACACACACACATTCATACTCTCACACACACACACATTCATACCCTCTCACACACACACATTCATACTCTCACACACACGCATTCATACTCTCACACACACATTCATACTCTCACACACACACACATTCATACTCTCACACACACACACATTCATACTCTCACACACACATTCATACTCACACACACACACATTCATACTCTCACACACACACATTCATACTCTCACACACACACACATTCATACTCTCACACACACACACACATTCATACTCTCACACGCACACACACATTCATACTCACACACACACACATTCATACTCTCACACACACACACACATTCATACTCTCACACGCACACACACATTCATACTCACACACACACACACATTCATACTCTTACACACACACATTCATACTCTCACACACACGCACGCCGACGCGCAACCACGCGCACCGCACGACCGCCGTCACGTCTCGACGCCGAACTTTTTGTGCTCCGACTCGTCCGTTGTCGACGATGAGGAATTGGACACTCGAACCAGCCGCTCCTCCTCCTCCTCCGTCATCAACTCCAGCCCACAGTCGTCATTGGACGACTCCACCACCCGCTCCTCCCGCTCCCCCTCTTCCTCCCGCTCCGACGTCGTCATCTCCTCGTCGGCCTCCTCCTCCCGACCCCCTCCCTCTTCCCCGCCCCCCGTCCGCGACGGGTCCCCCGCGGGCCGGGGCCGGGGCCGGGGCCGGGGCCGCCGCCGCCGCTCCGACCCCCCGCCGCTCCCCGCGTCTCCGTCTCTCCCTCGCCCCTCGCCCGAGTCCCCGTCCCCATCCCCCCGGGGTGCCCCGCACGGGTCCCCGCTGGGCTCGGGGCTCGGCGTGCCGGAGGAGTCGGGGGTGGCGTGCCGAGGGGGGCGCTCGACGGGCAGCGCGCGGGGGGCGCGCTGCAGCTGGTGGTGCAGCAGCAGGATGAGCTGCTGCAGCTCCTCCCGCTTGCGCTTCACACGCTCGCGCGGGAACCAGCTCTCCAGCTGCAGCGGCAGCTCGAAGGACGCGACGGGGCTCTGGGGGAGAGGGACGCGGTGGGCGGGGGGGAGGGAGGAGGAGAAGGGTCGATTAAGAGACGCTCATCCACACGCAACTATCTTTCACTACTTTTGTGTTTGCTAAAGGTGGCTGCGAGGGTCGTGGGCGTGGTGAAACAAGAACAATTGGTTGGGTCGGGTGGTGGAGGGTCTTACGAGAGAGTGTGTGAAGGCTATACTAGGGGGGATCTTTGTCTCGTGCGAGTTTGTGCGTGTACAGAGCACACAGGAATCATCAAGTGACGATGACAGACTACAAACTGAGCGAGACACGGAACGCACCACACTCACAATACTCGCCACACTCAACACACCACACTCACCACACTCACCACACTCAACACACCACACTCACCACACTCAACACACCACACTCACCACACTCAACACACCACACTCACGACATCATACTCAACACACTCAACACACCACACTCACCGCACTCATGACATCATACTCAACACACCACACTCACCGCATTCACTACAACACACTCAACACACCACACTCACCGTATTCACGACATCATACTCAACACACCACACTTACCGTATTCACTACATCATACTCAACACACTCAACACACTCAACACACCACACTCACCGCATTCACTACAACACACTCAACACACCACACTCACCGCATTCACTACATCATACTCAACACACTCAACACACCACACTCACCGTATTCACTACATCATACTCAACACACTCAACACACCACACTCACCGCATTCACTACATCATACTCAACACACTCAACACACTCAACACACCACACTCACCGCATTCACTACATCATACTCAACACACCACACTCACCGCATTCACTACATCATACTCAACACACTCAACACACTCAACACACCACACTCACCGCATTCACTACATCATACTCAACACACTCAACACACCACACTCACCGCACTCACGACATCATACTCAACACACCACACTCACGACATCATACTCAACACCCAACACTCACCGCACTCACGACATCATACTCAACACACCACACTCACCGCATTCACGACATCATACTCAACACACCACACTCACCGCATTCACGACATCATACTCAACACACTCAACACACCACACTCACCGCACTCACTACATCATACTCAACACACTCGAGACACCACACTCACCGCATTCACGACATCACACTCAACTCACCACACTCAGAACATCACATCCATCTCACCACGCTCAACAACACCACAGTCGCCACCCGTGGGGTAGTATTACCTCAAAGAAGCTCTCCACGTACTGCAGCAGGTATACCCCGCAGTCGCTGAAGTTGTCCTGCTGCGGCACCTTGGGGCAGCAGTACCTCATCGAGTCCTTGGTGAAGGGCCGGGCTTCCCCTCGGCGCATGAACCACTCCACCTCCAGGTACCTGCCCAGGAGGCAAAGCGAGTTTCCCGCTCAACCGAGCGTCGGGTCATTACGTAGAGCGAGGGAGAACAAGTATTTGATCCCCTGCTGATTTTGTACGTTTGCCCACTGACGAAAGAAATGATCAGTCTATAATTTTAACGGTAGGTTTATTTGAACAGTGAGAGTCAGAATAACGACAACAAAAATCCAGAAAAACGCATGTCAAAAATGTTATCAATTAATTTGCAGTTTAATGAGGGAAATAAGTATTTGACCCCTCTGCAAAACATGACTTGGTACTTGGTGGCAAAACCCTTGTTGGCAATCACAGAGGTCAGACGTTTCTTGTAGTTGGCCACCAGGTTTGCACACATCTCAGGAGGGATTTTGTCCCACTCCTCTTTGCAGATCTTCTCCAAGTCATTAAGGTTTCGAGGCTGACGTTTGGCAACTCGAACCTTCAGCTCCCTCCACAGATTTTCTATGGGATTAAGGTCTGGAGACTGGCTAGGCCACTCCAGGACCTTAATGTTCTTCTTCTTGAGCCACTCCTTTGTTGCCTTGGCCGTGTGTTTTGGGTCATTGTCATGGTGGAATACCCATCCACGACCCATTTTCAATGCCCTGGCTGAGGGAAGGAGGTTCTCACCCAAGATTTGACGGTACATGGCCCCGTCCATCGTCCCTTTGATGCGGTGAAGTTGTCCTGTCCCCTTAGCAGAAAAACACCCCCAAAGCATAATGTTTCCACCTCCATGTTTGACGGTGGGGATGTTGTTCTTGGAGTCATAGGCAGCATTCCTCCTCCTCCAAACACGGCGAGTTGAGTTGATGCCAAAGAGCTCCATTTTGGTCTCATCTGACCACAACACTTTCACCCAGTTGTCCTCTGAATCATTCAGATGTTCATTGGCAAACTTCAGACGGGCATGTATATGTGCTTTCTTGAGCAGGGGGACCTTGCGGGCGCTGCAGGATTTCAGTCCTTCACGGCGTAGTGTTACCAATTGTTTTCTTGGTGACTATGGTCCCAGCTGCCTTGAGATCATTGACAAGATCCTCCCGTGTAGTTCTGGGCAGATTCCTCACCATTCTCATGATCATTGCAACTCCACGAGGTGAGATCTTGCATGGAGCCCCAGGCCGAGGGAGATTGACAGTTCTTTTGTGTTTCTTCCATTTGCGAATAATCGCACCAACTGTTGTCACCTTCTCACCAAGCTGCTTGGCAATGGTCTTGTAGCCCATTCCAGCCTTATGTAGGTCTACAATCTTGTCCCTGACATGCTTGGAGAGCTCTTTGGTCTTGGCCATGGTGGAGAGTTTGGAATATGATTGATTGCTTCTGTGGACAGGTGTCTTTTATACAGGTAACAAGCTGAGATTAGGAGCATTCCCTTTAAGAGTGTGCTCCTAGTCTCAGCTCGTTACCTGTATAAAGACACCTGGGAGCCAGAAATCTTTCTGATTGTGAGGGGGTCAAATACTTATTTCCCTCACTAAAATGCAAATCAATTTATAACATTTTTGACATGCGTTTTTCTGGATTTTTTTGTTATTTTGTCTCTCACTGTTCAAATAAACCTACCACTAAAATTATAGACTGATCATTTCTTTGTCAGTGGGCAAAGGCACAAAATCAGCAGGGGATCAAATACTTTTTTTCCCTCACTGTACGTACGTGTGTTCAACTTCTTTCACATCGTACGTAGCCGACCGTGCAGGGCCAGTGCTGGAAATTCCTCATTCCTATGGTGGGGGGAAAGTCCATGCAAAGGACAACCCTTCACTGAGCTATAGCGACTCGTTTTCAGGAGGGTCCTGCCAAGAGTTGGGAGGCGTTTAAGCTTCCTGCTGCTGCTGCTGCTGCTGCGTGATCCCAATTGAGTAATTTGCAGGTAATATTTCAGCATTGGAATGTTTTGGCCGATAGCGGTCACATTGTGTGTGCGTGGTGTGTTTAGCTATGGGAGGAAAGCGGAGAACCCGGAGGGAACGCACACAGAACAGAGGGAGAGATACAGAACACACAGACTCCACACAGAGATGCGCCCAAGTGTGTAATGGAACCCAGGAGATTCAACTAAACAAAAAAATAAGCAATTTTTTTTCTTACCAGGTAAGGCCCATTGAGCTGTAACAGCTCTTTTTCAGAAGCGACCTGGCCTTCACAAATGATAGCTCAACGAAGTGACTTGTTATCACGTGGACATTTACAGCAGCAGCCAAATACGCCGACTATAAACGTGGAGGGAAAGACTCGAGAACCCGGAGAAAAATCCACGCCACCACGGGGAGAGAGAGAGACACGCAAACTCCAAATATACAGCAGCAGCAAGCGTCGGGGTCGGGATCAAACCCACGACCTCCTGGACACCAGGCGAGGTAGTTAACATCTCCTAGCCACAGTGATGATGATGAGAGACACAAACTCTAAATATACAGCAGCAGGCGTCAAGGTCGGTAAACCCACGACCTCCTGCGCACCAGGCGAGGTAGTTAACATCTCCCAGCCACCGCGGCGCCCTCTCTCGTGTGCGTTACCACCGTGCCACCACCCTGTCGCTGCAAACGACGGGGCCGGATCAACCTCCCGCTCTCCCACCGAGCGCTGCCGAGCCGCCGATGGCGCGGCACGGTGGGGGAAGAGACCCGCGGCCGCCCGACCGCCACTCACTCTCGCAGCGTCTTGGCGACCGCGTTGCGACAGGAGCCCTTGAGCGAGTCCATGATGACGATGCAGGGCCTGCGCACACAAAGACAAAGATTCCCCACCCCCCCGTGTAGCCTTAGCGGACTGTTGGGAGCTAAATTTGTTAGTGAGTAGCAGCACCTACGAAGGCCGGCACGGCACACAAGCGGGTGGGTGGCCTGCACCAACAAAGGTAAAGATCTCCCTATAACCTTAACAGACTGTAGGGGCAAGTGCTGTTAAGCGAACACCTAGGAAGGCCGGCACGGCTCACGAGGGGTTGGGTGGCCAGCACCACGCCCGGCCGCCTTTGTCTCCCCAGTGGCGATGTTTTTACACACCGCACCGGGTACTCATTCGAGGCTGAGTCGACCTCGGGGAGACACTGGACCGAGTCTGATAATTGTCACTGGTGTTGGCTGTGAGCGGGAATCGAACTGGGGTCGCCGGGTTTGTAACTCCGCACGCACAGAAAGGACGCCCGAGTTTGGAATCGAACCCAGGCACCCCCCTTTTGTTGCTGTGAGGCCAGGGGTGTTACAACTGCGCCACCCTGACCCTTTCCCCGTTCCAAAACGTCTGCAGGTTGCGAGCGGCTCGGCGTTCATTTCATTTACAGGAGGCGTAGCAGCAGTAGCAGCAGTAGCAGCAGTAGCAGCAGCGCCGCTGTTTTTAAGGACGTCGTTACGCGCCGCGGAGTAGCGGACACGACCGCCGCACTCCACGATAGCCGGCGCCAAACTGTGCCAAGGCGCCCTCCCGCGCGTGGCCCGGTGGGAGCCTCGGTACCGATAAAGTTATTCCGTTCGGCGACGTCCACGCGAGTCGTCGGAATGGCGAAGGGCCAGCCGGGTCGGCGCGGTGCGCCTGCCGAGTGAATCGCGGGCCGCACGACGGCACTCACTGCTTGCAGACGGTGTCCGCGTCGCGGTGGCAGCGTCCCGGGATGCGTGCCGCTGGGGCGGCACCGTTACGCGCGGGACGCTGCCCCTCCTCGCTCTCCCCCACCTCCTCGCCCGAGTCCTGGGCAGGGGGCGGACACGCCCACGTCATCGTCGTCGTCGTCATCGTCACTGACCCACGTCATCGACGTCGTCATCGTCGTCGTCGTCGTCGTCACTGACCCACGGCAGAGGAGTGTGACTCGCAGCATTGTGGGCGACGATGGTGGAGAAGAGTGACGCAGTGAAGGCGAGCAACTCGGTGAAGGTGAGTGGCTCGGTGAAGGTGAGAAACTCGGTGAAGGTGAGAAACTCGGTGAAGGTGAGCGGGGGCTCAGTGAAGGCGAGTGACTCACGGTGGGCGAGTGACTCACGGTGGGCGAGTGACTCACGGTGGGCGAGTGACTCACGGTGGGCGAGTGCTCCAGGCTTATCGTCTGCTGCATCAGCTGCTCCGTGGTGTCGTCCGACCCGGCCTGGCTCTCCGTCTCTCCGTCCTCCTCCTCTGCGACCTTCGACCCATCAAACACCTCCACCCTGGTGGGCGCAGCACTGCTGCTGTTGCTGCTGTTGTTGCTGTTGCTGCTGCTACTGCTGCCGTTGTTGTTGTTGGTGGGGGTGATGGTGGTGCCGCCCTGCTTGCCGCTGCTGTTGCTGGCTGCGAAGGTGAGGCTCTTAGCCTTTGGGACGTAGCACTTTCCCTGGAGCCCAGGGAAGCAAATGACTGCCAGGAACCAGTGGGAGCTGCATAGAGACACACAAACACGCAAACACACAAACACGCAAACACACAAACACACAAACACGCAAACACACAAACACGCAAACACACAAACACACAAACACACAAACACACAAACACACAAACACACAAACACGCAAACACACAAACACACAAACACGCCCGTCTCAGCGCCCGCCCCCACGCTCGTCCCCACCCCCGCCCCCACGCCCGCCCCCACCACTCACGTCTCGTTGATCGGCACGAAGACGAAGTCCTTGGTGAAGATGTCCACGTGGCGTGTCCAGGTGCGCACGCGCCGGTGCCTCCGCTGGGGCAGCCTGGGGCGAGCACGTCGGGGGGGGGGGGGCGAGCACGTCGGGGGGGGGGGGGGGGGGCGAGCACGTCGGGGGGGGGGGGGGGCGAGCACGTCGGGGGGGGGGGGGGGCGAGCACGCAGAAGGTCAATAAGACTTTCACTTCGGCATCCGCTCACCCGCCGATACACTCGCTCACACGAAGACAAAGATCCCCTGCTGGGGGCGAGCGCTGTGAGCGAGCAACACCTTTGAAGAAGGCCGGCACGGCACACGAGGGGGGTGGGTGGCCAGCACCACGCCCGGCCGCCTTTGTCTCCCTAATGTTGTTTTACACACCGCACCGGGTACTCATTTGAGGCCGAGTCAACCTCGGCGAGAACCAGGACCGGTTCAGATAATCGTCACCGGTGTTGGCCGTGCGCGGGAATCGAACTCGGGCCGCCAGGTTCGTAGCGCAGCGTAGCGCTAACCGCTGCACTAAATCTTGACTTAAAGCTTTCGTGACCGCAGGAATTCATATCGCTTGGGTCTTTCGGTAAAGTCACGTAGATATGCTCAAAGAAAATAAGGAAAAACTACGACGATCGAAAACGCCGTAGTCAAACGCTGCCGCGCAAGTGGACACACACACACACACGCGCTACCGCACACTCCGTCTCGGGGTGCGAGAAGGCATGGGGGTCGGTCGGGGGAGGGGAGAAGCTCACGTGAGGCCGGCCGCCTCCTCCGAGCGGCTCTTGTCGCGCTGGTTGAGCCGCTTGTAGAAGAAGGAGCTGAAGATGTGGATCCGCTCCGAGTCGGCCTTGTCCAGCTTCTCCATCACCAGGTACCTGGGTCGCACGCCGCACGCACACACACAGCACAACACACGTGACACACACACACACACACAGCACAACAAACATGACACACACACACACAGCACAACACACATGACACACACACACACAGCACAACAAACGTGACACACACACACACAGCACAACACACGTGACACACACACACACAGCACAACAAACATGACACACACCACACAGCACAACACACGTGACACACACATACACAAACAGCACAACAAACATGACACACACACACACAGCACAACACATGTGACACACACACACACAGCACAACAAACGTGACACACACACACACAGCACAACAAACGTGACACACACACACAGCACAACAAACATGACACACACACACACAGCACAACAAACATGACACACACACACACAGCACAACACACGTGACACACACACACACAGCACAACACACATGACACACACACACACAGCACAACAAACGTGACACACACACACACACAGCACAACAAACGTGACACACACACACAGCACAACAAACATGACACACACACACACAGCACAACAAACATGACACACACACACACACACAGCACAACACACGTGACACACACACACACAGCACAACACACATGACACACACACACACAGCACAACAAACATGACACACACACACACAGCACAACAAACATGACACACACACACAGCACAACAAACATGACACACACACACACAGCACAACACACGTGACACACACACACACAGCACAATAAACGTGACACACACACACAGCACAACACACGTGACACACACACACAGCACAACAAGCGTGACACACACACACAGCACAACACACGTGACACACATACACAGCACAACAAGCGTGACACACACACAGCACAACACACGTGACACACACACACACAGCACAACAAACATGACACACACACACAGCACAACAAACATGACACACACACACAGCACAACACACGTGACACACACACACACAGCACAACACACGTGACACACACACACACAGCACAACACACGTGACACACACACACACAGCACAACACACGTGACACACACACACACAGCACAACACACGTGACACACACACAGCACAACACACGTGACACACACACAGCACAACACACGTGACACACACACACACAGCACAACAAACATGACACACACACACAGCACAACAAACATGACACACACACACAGCACAACACACGTGACACACACACACAGCACAACACACGTGACACACACACACAGCACAACACACGTGACACACACACACAGCACAACAAACATGACACACACACAGCACAACACACGTGACACACACACACACACAGCACAACACACGTGACACACACACACACACAGCACAACAAACGTGACACACACACACAGCACAACACACGTGACACACACACACACAGCACAACACACGCGACACACACACACAGCACAACAAACATGACACACACACACAGCACAACACACGTGACACACACACACACAGCACAACACACGTGACACACACACACACAGCACAACAAACGTGACACACACACACAGCACAACACACGTGACACACACACACACAGCACAACACACGTGACACACACACACATAGCACAACAAGCGTGACACACACACACAGCACAACACACGTGACACACACACACAGCACAACAAGCGTGACACACACACACAGCACAACACACGTGACACACACACACACAGCACAACAAACATGACACACACACACAGCACAACACACGTGACACACACACAGCACAACACACGTGACACACGCCACACACAGCACAACACACGTGACACACACACACACAGCACAACACACGTGACACACACACACACACAGCACAACACACGTGACACACACACAGCACAACACACGTGACACACACACAGCACAACAAACATGACACACACACACACAGCACAACACACGTGACACACACACACAGCACAACAAACATGACACACACACACAGCAGAGACCATCAACTCTGCACTGCCCGTGGAACCCGGGTTCACCACTCGCTATCTCGCCGCCGTGGCCCCTGAGCTGCCGGCCTCCTGCACAGGCCGAGATCTTGACGCTCACTCCGCTGCTGCTGGTTCTGCTGCCGCTTCTGCCCGATACTTCTTCTGCTGCTACTTTTACTTGCCGCTGCCGCAGCTTCTGCTGCTTCCACTGCCGCTGCAGCTTAAGCTGCCCCTGCAGCTTCTGCGACTGCTGCTGCTGCTACTACTACCTCTGCTACTACCTCTGCTACCGCTGCTGCGACTTCCGCAGCTACCTCTGCAGCTTCTGCCGCTGCCGCGCCGCTCACTTGAGATAGAAGTCGATGATGACGTCGTTGAGGAATTCGCCTGGGTTGAGGCAGGAGAGGTCCTCGTTCGTCACGCTGATGGCGCCCTTGGCCGGTGGCGGAGGGAACACCACGAGCCTGGAGAGCAAACGGGGCGGGGTAGAGGACGCGGGGCGACGCACGCGCCTTCGTGTTAGTGCCGTCGCGGTGTCTGTAAGTGTGCATTTGAATTTCTGTCACGCCGCACGTCGCCAACCGGCGGTGCGGCGTGACCCCCTCTCTCTATGGGCCGGCCCTGGTGGCGATGACGTTGGCGGTGGCGATGCACTGTTGGTGCAGGTGCCGGTCGCGGCGATGCCACGGTCGGCGTTCATCGTTCTGCGTCGGGTGTCGCGTGCGGCCGTGCCCGGCGGTGAAACTGACGTCTCCACGGTCACCGAGAAGCCGTCGGCGCCGGTCGGCGAGGCGCTCGCGCTGCTAGCGCTGCTTGTGCTGACGGCGATCCTCCGCGTGGTGCGCAGCTGGTACGACGGGAACACGCAAACGGGCACCTGCGTACGCGGCAAAAGAGACGGGGGGGGGGGGGGGGGGGGGGGGCAAAGGCGCCATTGGGCGAGCGCCGGTGAAAATGCCGGCAACGGCACACGGGGGGGCTGGGGTTGATCAGCACCGCGCCCGGGCCGCGGCCGCCTTTGTCTCCCCAATGACGACGACGTTTCGCATCGCCGCGCCAGGTGCTCATTTAAAGCGAGTCGACCCAGGGGAGGGCCCAGGACCGATTTTACATGCTGCGCCAGAGGCACTCGGTAAAAGAGGGGGTGGGGGGCACCGAGAATGTTGACCTAAGGCGGTGGCACCTAGCCTGGCACAGGGTACTGTGACCGTTGGAGGAAGGTGGGGTGGGTTGGGGGTGAGGTGAGTGGGCACAGCGTCGCGCAAAACCCCCCTCTCTCGCTCCGCGGGCCTCCCGCCCCGCACCTTGCGACCACCGGCGGGCGAACGGACTCCGTCCTCCGCGGACGACGAGGAGGCGAGGCCCTCATCGGCCGCCGCGGGGCCCGCCGGGTCGGCCGTGCCCAGGATGAGCCTCTGGTTGGCCTCGCTGGTCTTGATGTGCCGGCAGAATCCCCGGATGCTGTTGCGGCATCCGATGGCTTCCATGAGGATTTTCAGCTCTTTCTGGGCCGGTTGCTCGGGGTAGCTGTCCAGCACCAGGATGATGTACATCTCCCTGGGGTCTACAAAGACACAAAGACCCCCCCCCCCCACCACAATCCAGGAACCCTTAACGGACTGTTGGGACGAGCGCTCTTAGCGAGTACCGGCGCGGGTTGGGGTGGGGGTCAGCGCCACGCCGGGCCAACTTTGTCTCCCCAGTGGCAACGTTGACACATATCGCACCGGGTACTCGTTTGAGGTTGAGTCGACCTCGGGGAGGCCCGGGACGATAATTTGTCATCGGTGTTACTCGTGAACGGGAATCAAAGTCGGGTCACCAGGTACGAGGCGCAGGGCGCTAACCGCTGACCCACTGCTCACCGGGCTCTACACACACACACGGGGACGGTGACATGATGGCCGAGCGACAGAGCACTCGCCGCTTTTTGCAGAGGTTTGCGGTTCGAATTCGGCAAGCCGCCCTGTTTCATGCCACAGGTGGTCATCATCATTATGACGCGGAGATACATCAACTACAGCATCATCATCACACCTCCGATTAGCATGGCTGGCTCGGTACGGTGCGAAAGAAGTTCAACATACACAAATACATCACAGAACACTCCTGTCACTCCTGCCAAACTCTCTCATCTCACTCTCCTCCCCACCACGCGTTCTCCTACCTCTCCTCTCCCATCTCACTCTCCTCTCTCATCTCACTCTCCTACCTCTCCCCTCTCATCTCACTCTACTCCCCACCACGCACTCTCCTAACTCCCCCCCCTCTCATCGCATCTCTCTCCTCCCCCCACCAGGCCCTCTCCTACGTCTCCGCCTTCACTCACCGTTGCCTGTCGGATTGAACCATTCCTGCTTGTCACGGCTCATCTGCAGCTGGTGGCAGAAGCGCAGCGCGGCGATGGATGTGGTCTGGATGAAGAGCATGGAGCACGTGCGGTTGAATGCCATCTCAAACAACGTGAGCTCCTTGGCGGCCAACGTCAGGGCCTCCGCCTTCATGTCTGTGGAACGATAATGATGTGTGTCAGCGCGTGTGTCAGCGTGTGTGCGAAGCGGTAGCGTAGGGGTTAGCGCTACGCTGCGCTACGAACCTGAGATCGATTCAAGCTCACGGCCAACGCCGGTGACGATTATCTGAACCCGGGCCTATGCCTCCCCCCCTAGGTCGACTCAGCCTCAAATGAGTATCTGGTGCGGTGTGTGAACATCGCCACTGGGGAGACAAAGGCGGCCGGGTGTGGTGCTGGTCACTCACCTCCTTGTGCCCCGTTCTGACCTTCACAGGTGTTTGCTAACAGCACATGCCCCAACACAACAGTCTGTTGAGACTATACAGGCATTCTATGTTTTTGTTTAACTTTTTTCATCACACTGTACGTAGCCAACTGTGCTAATCGGAGGTGCGGGGGGCGGGACAACAAACGAAACACTAATAAGCCGTTCTAAAGAAATTAGTTTTCCATCTAGATGTAAAAGTGCTTAGCTCCAGCGGCCACCTAATATCGGAAGGTAGAGAGTTCCAGATGGCCGCAGAAGCATTTGGAAAAAGCGTGATGCGGTGACCCGTGTTTGCTCGGTGGCTCGCCAAAAGCCGCTGCAAAGACGACCGGAGTTCGCGCGATGGTTCATGGTCCTTGACAACATCAGCAAGGGGTTGCGCTTTATTCGTGGAAAAGCATTCTGCGTGCAATGAGTGGCACGAGGTAAACCAGCGCCTGGCCTGCCGGTATTGGGGGCGATGATTGCCATGTGCTCCAGCCTCGGGCACCCCAGGGGGCAGCTATGCTTACAGCTATGCTTGCAGCTATGCGTTATAAGTGCCTGGGGTTGATTCCCGACTCGGGCGCCTTCCCGCGTGTAGTTTGGACATTCTCCCCCTGTTCTGCATGGGGTCTGTCCGGCTAAAAATGTAACCGGCGATGCCTCAAAACATCCCGAATGTCTCAGAACAACTGCCTGCAAGTCACTCAATGGGGATCACGCAGCAGCAGCAGCATTGCCCCGCGCCCCCCCCCCCCCAACCACTGTGACGACGTTGCAGGACCCTCGTGAATGAGAGTCTTGATTGAGACTTGTGGAGATTTTCCTGGGTGGACAGCAGCGGCGATAATATTTACTTGTATTAGTATCGGTGTGAACGTCGCCTTGCGGCCGTCTCTCAGCGCTGACGAGCACGCCACTCACCTTCAAACCGCAATCCCTCCTCCGAAAACTGAAAGGTGAACAAAGTCAAAAATAAAATTAAATACAGACACAGAATTCGGATGCTGCCGTCCCCCTCGTAAGCATGGGCTTTCTCCTCCCAAACGCAAAACCATTCAATCAAATCGAGGTGCATTTGTTGCGCGGAAAGTGACGTGTAGCCCGTTGCCCGGCTAGGCTCGCAAAGGCAGATTCCGCGGTGCTATAAGCACGGAACAAAGACGACGCCGACGTCGGAGTGATCCGCGCGGAGGAACAGGCATCACAGTGACCCGTGCCAAGAAGACAACGCGTCGGAGATACGGCCAAGAAAAAAATGCGGAAAGAAAAGAAAATTGAACGGTGTTAACGAAAGAAAAAAAAACGAATTGCCCAAATGTCCCAATGCAAGACCCTCCTGGCCCAACGAGTCTCGGGGTAGATGAGCGAGCCGTTCCCGGGGTAAACAAATGGCAGAGCAGAGATGTCCCCATCCCCCGCTGTCGAGCGAAACCCCTCCGGTCAAACTCCATCCGCCAATCAATTACGTGTGGTTGATGCAGACTTGATTCCTTGCAAAAGCTATCTACTATTTGGTCTTTGAACATCTTAACACCTCCTGTTTGATTGCCAGAATGGGTAAAAAATATATATTATTATTATTATTAATACAGTAAAACCTTGGATCGCGAGTAACTTGGTCTGCGAGTGTTCTGCAAGACGAGCAAAATATTTAAATAAATATTAATTTTATCAACGAGCGAGGTTCTTGCAATACGAGTAGTGTAACGTGTACACGCTTTGTACTGCCGAGCGTCACGTGATCACAACTGATGTACGAGTGCTTTGATATACGAGTGCTTTGGATTACAAACACGTTTCCGGAACGAATTATGCCCGCAATGCAAGGTTTTACCATGTTATTCTTCACACTCCTCTTGCCTTCCTAGTGGGTTTTCGATTTGTTTACCGTTCCAACTTCCTGGGACCATGCCCCAACTGGACAGCTGCGAGTAAGATCTTCATACCTCATCGGATTCCTCGAGAATAGATACAGATGCCGATTAAACTTACAAATGAAAGTTTGTCCCTTGTGCCACTCCAATTCATCAGATCCCCCCACCCCCCTCCTCCTCCTCCAGCCTGCACTGGTGTCCAAACCATCAAAACCTCTTGCTAATCCTCATTATAGTACCATCATCATCTTGGTGTTATACGAATATGGTGGCTGTGGCGGCGGTGGCGGTGCCTGTGGTGGTGTTGGTGGTGGTGCCGGCGGTGGTGCATGCGGTGGTTGTGGCGGTGGCTGTGGTAGCGGTGGACGTTGTAGCGGTGACTGCGGTGCCGGCGGTGGTGCCGTTGGCGGTGGCTGTGGTAGCGGTGGCAGGTTGCGTTAAGCCGCGTGCGTCGTTACCACGGCGAGACACGGCTCCCGGATCTTGAGCGTCCCCACGCGGAACATGCGGCACACCAGGCTGACGGAGGCCGACTCGTCGAGCCCCAGCACCCTGCTGGGGACGGTCGTCAGCGCCAGCCTGGCCGTGCCGGCGCTGCCACCGCGGGAGCCCCTCCTCGCCACCGTGAGGCGCGGCCGTTTCACCGGCACCGGGCATTGACCCAACTGCGAGGTCGCGCGCACAAGCAGAGAAAAGGAGATGCCTCCTCACCGCACCCAATCCCTCTAACAGACTGCTGTACGCACCGTGCGTAGCCAACCGTGCTGTTAGCCAGCGGACAGCTACCAAGGTGGGGGGAGCTTCCATTTCCGTTCCCTGAAGAAGCTCCCGGGCACCGTGTAAGGGGGGAAGGGGGGGGGGAACGGGGTGGGGGGGAAGAGGGGGCGGGGGCAGGGGCAAAACGTCGGAAATCACGCGACAACCAGAGACACACGCCGGAGAGCCACGCAGCGGCGGTGGCGGCAGCGGCAGCGCGACCAAGACAAGCGACTGGCGCGACCGTCGCCGGGGTTGCTAAAACCGCTTGTGGCAATGGAACAGGAGCTGTGCTCAGATGTCCAAGCACCGAACAGATGCCCCTTGTGCAAGGCATCGAAAGTCCGCAATCGGTTTCAAGGACCACACGTGCATTATGAGAGGATGTTTTTTTTTGTTTGTTTTGCATGTTTCACCAAAGGCACGTGCGGTTAATGGAGACTTGATGCCTTGCGAAAAGGCTTCGTGTGAACATGTTCGCACAACTCCCCGTTTCATATTGCCAGAGAGGGTAAACACACGTTGTTATATTCTTGGTCCTGTCGGTAAAGACACCGCGTAGAAGGGAAACAATAAAATAATAAAAATATAAAACAATGCAATTCTCACGACGTTTCGACTGCAACACAAGCAATCATCATCAGGTGTGAAAACCACATATTGTTAAATTTCGATTTAAAGCTTTCGTGACTGCAAGGACTCATCTTCTTTGGTTCTTTCGGTAAAGTCACGTAGAATGAGAATAAAATAATAAATTGATAAAATAAAATAACACAAGAATATTATTGTGTTATTTTATTTTATCAATTTATTATTTTATTCTCATCCTACGTGACTTTACCGAAAGAACCAAAGAAGACACATATTGCTGTTCCATCATTTCGACACTGGCACAAAAAAAAAGTTTCCGCGTCGACAGGGGTTGCTAAACGATCGCCGGCAAGCCCGGCGCTGTGGGAGGCGGCCAGGGGTTTGGTGGATCGCCGCACGAACGTCGTGGAACCCGCCTTCCCGTGGACGTCGAGGAGGAGCCAAATGCCCTCGGCTCGCTGGCAAGGCGAGCGGAGCAGAGTGGACTATAACCTCCGTCGGTAGGGGAGGCGAGCGTTTCTCTCCTCCCAAGTGTGTAATGGACACATCTCTCGCCGTTAAGCGGCCGAAAGCATTGGGCAGATCAAGGCCCAATGCAGTAGCAGCAGGAGGAGGACTCCTTCTGGAAGCTCCCCCCTCGGACTTTCCTGGATAAAAATCAATAAATGATACATTTTCTCTTTGGGTCTTTCGGTAAAGTCACGTAGAGAGATAAATTATTTTCAAAGATTTTTTTTCTAAATCATGACGTTTCGATCGCAACACAAGCAATCGTCCTCAGGTGAAAAAAATATGTTTTTATTTTTCTATCTACGTGACTTTACCGAAAGACCCAAAGAGTATTTATTCCTGCAGTCACGAAAGCTTCAAGTCAAGAAGTGATCAATTATTTACATATTAACCATTTTTCACGCTCCGATGACGCACGTGTACATCTTGAAAACGAAACCGGAAGACAAAATAAAATAAAAAATTTACTTTATCGGTACCGAGGCTCCCGCAAGGCCATTCGGGAAGGGCGCGTGGCACAGTTTGGCGCCAGCTATCGTAGAGTGGCGGCGGTCGTGCCGCTACGGGTCTCTGTGGTGAGCAACAACGTCTTTAAAAACGACGACGCTACGACTCCCCGAACAAAACTTGACGGCGAGCCGCTGGCGCGTCCCGAGATTCGGCGGTGAACGGGGGGACACCCGCCCTGCAACTTGCAGGCGTCATCGGAACGAGGAAAAGTGTTTAATGTCTAATCGTATATATTTATACATTCAGGCGAGCCAGGTCCTCGCGGGCCCAGCGGGGCGGAGCTCTCCCACCTTGTTCTTCATCCTGGCCTTAATGCTCATGGTGGACTTGGTCGACAGCTGGAAGAGGTTCCCAAAGTCGTCATCGTTGTCTCCTCCCGCGGGCTGGTCGCCGGCCGCGGGCCGTTCGTCCACTGACGCCGCTTCGTCGCTCGGCAGCGCGGGACGCTCGTCGGCCGAGCACGGGCCCGAGACGGGCGACGAGGTCTCGCGACGGTCGCTCGGCTCTACGGGGACGGGGACGGATGGTCGGTCGGAAGGTCGGTTGGTCGGTTGTTCGGACAGATGGTCGGACGGACGGACGGTCGGGTGGACGGACGGACGGACGGTCGGATGGACGGACAGTCCGACGGATGGCCGGCTGGTCGGTCGGACGGATGGATTGTCCGTCGGTCGGTCGGTCGGACGGACAGTCCGATGGTCGGACGGACGGCTGATGGACCATCGGTAGGTTGGACAGATGGTCCATCAGCCGGTAGGACGGACGGAGAGCCGGACAGACGGAAGGGCGGGTCTGTCGGACGCGAGTTACTTTTCACAATCCTTTAATTATTTACCACGGGCTTGTTTTTTGCAAACGGTCGTTTTGTGTGGACTAACCGTCGATGCGGGACGTGTATTTTTTTAATGTAAATGTTTCGTTCTACATATCTGCTCTCGAGTATGCTGACAAGGTGTGTGCGCTCAGGAGCTCGATGCCGACGTCGAAGTCTGCTGCTCTATTTTACTCGATGATTCTATCATCCACGAACTCGAGCCCACCGAGGGATCAGCTATTTTTTCAGAGGCGACCTGGCCACAACGTGATCTTAGCTCGGCAAAGTGGCCGATATCACAATCACACACGTGGGAGCCAAACAATCGAGACTCGAGCTGATTCTCAATTTGGAGGAGGGAAATCACCAGAGGTGCCCGGAGAACGATCCACAAGACCACCCATGGAGAGAGAGAGAGAGAGGAGATAGAGAACAAAGCGGACTCCAAACATATAAGAGGCCTCATCAGGGCTTCGGATCGAGCCCACGAATTCCTGCGGAGCAGGCAAGAGAGATCAAATCTCCCCACCACCAACGGCACGCCAGAGAAAACAGGAAACCGCGGTGAACGTCAGAATGATTTCCTGCTGCTCACGAGTCCAAACCTGTCAACCCCTTATCAGCGCCTACCTTATTACAGACCGAATTCGACCTTATTGGTGACCCCGTGCCCTTAGAGGTCTCCGACAAAGTCCCATCACAGGTGACAAACAAAAACAAAGACGCAAAAAAATGTGTTTTTTTTGCCCGTATTGAAACGGCTGTATGCTGCACGGACCTGAAAAAACGCAATTTCCCTGCCCGAGAAAACGGGTAAACCGTACGGGTTGCCAGCTATGCGAGTACTTGGAGGCATTCGTGGTCATCTCCTGTTTTCCACCCTGCTGAGCCAGCCGTGGAAATTCCTCATTCCCATGGCGAGGGCGAAGTCTTATCCACAGGACAGCCTCGTTAACTAACTATATGTTTTTATTTTACCGGGTAAGGCCCCACTGAGCTACGTAGTTCTTTTTCAAAAGCGACCTGTCCACAAGTGACAGCTCGACCAAGTGGCTTGTCGCGTGGAAATTTATAGCAGCCAAATACTCGAAATGCGTGACGTCGATTCTAAATGTGGTGGGAAAAACCGGAGGACCCGGAGAAGAATCCACGCGACCACGGAGAGAGAGACACGCAGACTCCAAATATACAGCAGCAGCAGGCGTCAGGGTCGGGATCGAACCCACGACCTCCTGTAGACCAGGCGGGGAAGTTAACATTTCCTAGCCACCGTGATGATGATGATGAGAGAGACACGCAAACTCCAAATATACAGCAGCAGGCGTCAGGGTCGGGATCAAACCCACGACCTCCTGTATACCTAGCGAGGTAGTTAACATCTCCTAGCCACCGTGATGATGATGATGAGAGAGACACGCAAACTCCAAATATACAGCAGCAGGCGTCAGGGTCGGGATAGAACCCACAACCTTCTGCATACCTGGCGAGGTAGTTAACATCTCCTAGCCACCGTGATGATGATGAGAGAGAGAGACACGCAAACTCCAAATATACAGCAGCAGGCGTCAGGGTCGGGATCAAACCCACAACCTTCTGCATACCTGGCGAGGTAGTTAACATCTCCTAGCCACCGTTGACTGCCACTGCTCACCTCTGATGCTGCGGCGGCCGACCACGGGACTCGTGGTTCCCCTGGGCGTGCCGCCGGTGGTGGACGTGGCGATGGGGGAAGCGCTGACCGAGGAGTTGGCCGCACTGGTGGTGCTGGTGGGGGTAGCACACCAGCCAGTGTCGACCTCAGACACCGAGAGCGGCGTCATGGTCAGGGCGGTGAGGCCGGAGCTCCGAGTCTCCTCGTCCTCATCGTCACTCGACAGCACGACTGGAGGGGAGGGAGGGAGCGAGGGAGGGAGGGGAGGGAGGGGAGGGAGGGAGCGAGGGGAGGGAGGGGAGGGAGGGGAGGGAGGGGAGGGAGGAAGCGAGGGGGGGGAGGGAGGGAGCGAGGGGAGGGAGGGGAGGGGAGGGAGGGAGGGAGGGGAGGGAGGGGAGGGGAGGGAGGGGAGGGAGGGAGCGAGGGGAGGGAGGGGAGGGAGGGGAGGGAGGGGAGGGAGGGGAGGGAGGGGAGGGGAGGGAGGGGAGGAAGGGAGCGAGGGGAGGGAGGGCGCGAGGGGAGGGAGGGAGCGAGGGGAGGGAGGGGAGGGAGGGAGGGAGGGAGCGAGCGAGGGAGGGAGAAACTATTATTATGCTTATATATTAGTTTAACACGTAGTAGGTTTTCGCAACCAATATCATCCATAAAAGGTTTTTTGTTGGGTTAGATCGCGTATAAATATATAAATGTGTCGTTAAAACCCGCCACCACCCGACACAGCCAACGAGCAAGGGTTGTCACGTAAACAGAACGTGCCAATTCGTCACAGCTGCGAGGCGCTGTTATACTCCATGTTGTAAAACCATACCAGTCACAAGCTAATCCCTCAGTTATTTCAGTGCTAAATTCTCCTGTTTGATTTGTACTAGGTGCCTCTGCGGATGTGTATGCTTTGACTTTAACATAGCCATTTCTGTGACCAGTCACAAGCTAATCACTCAGCTATTTCAATGCTAAATTCTATGCTAATTCCTTTGTCAAGGCGCTCTGTTTCTTCTCAGACAGCTTAAAGGTCGCGGTCTGAGCTTGGCTGTGCTCGCTCCAGCGCTGTCCTCCAGACAGTCTCGTCCCTTCACCTGATGAAGGCCGCTTGTGTTGTGGCCGAAACGTCGTGAGAATTTTATTGTGTTATTTTATCAATTTATCATTTTATTCTCATTCTACGTGACTTTACCGAAAGAACCAAAGAAGATGAATCCTTGCAGTCACGAAAGCTTTAAATCGAAATTTATACTGAGTTTATTGATAACATTGATGTAGTTTATATTTTAGTTTTTTATCAGTTTACTATGTGGTTTTCATTATCATGTAGTGTATACCCAGTTACTTTATGTTAATAGCTCAACTTATTGAAGAATATATTGAGTACATTTATTATATTGATGTAGTTTATACTTAGTTCTTTCACATCGGCTTATTGTATGATAGTTGTGTAGTTGCAGTCCTTTAGCGTCAATATACTAAATGCCTCTGTTGATATGTAAACTCTGACTTTAACATAGCTACTTCCGTGACCAGTTACATGCTAATCCCTCACATTAACATCATGCTAATCTCCCAGTTACATGCTAATTTATGACTTTAACACCCTGCTAATCCAACACTTTAACACAGCTATTTCAATGCTAAATTCTCCTGTTTGATATGTAAACTCCTTTGTCAAGGCGCTCTGCTCCTCCCACCCAGCTTAAAATACGCTGCCAAGCTTAGCAGTGTTCATTGAAGCGCTGTCGTCCCGACAGTTCTGTTCCTTCACCTGAAGAAGGCTACTTGTGTTGCGGCAGAAACGTCGTGAAAATTTTCTTTTATTGTTTTATTTTTATTATTTTATTTCCATTCTACGTGACTTTACCAAAGGAATCGAAGGTTGTAGATTTCTTTAGAATCGGCCTATTCCCGTTTAATCGACCCCACAAACGCTCACCAGATATCGATTCTCGCCAGTTCTGTATGCGGGTTGACGCCACACACTTCACGGTCATTACCCACCCCCCCCCCAAAAATACAAAAGTCTATTTTCATACGTTTTACATTGTGTACAGTATGGGAGCTAGCCACGTGGCAAATGTAAAGTTTGTAGCCTAGTACATTATACCCAATATTCCCCCCCCGTGCAGTGCCAAGTGGTTGTTACCCGCAGCAGCCTATCAAAAGGCTGCTTAACCCAGCCCTCCCACCCACCCACGCCCCCTTACTGACTCCTCCCCCCTCCCTTAACCTGTATATAATCCCGCTCGTCTCTGAACTGTGCTCCTGACACAGATATTCTGCGTTGACTTTTCCACCTGAAGACGGAAGCTTGTGTTGCCTCCGAAACGTCGTGATTTAATTATTTTCTTTTATTTTGTTTTATTTTACCTACGTGGCTTTACCGAATAAAACCAAAGAGTATGAATCCTTGCAGTCACGAAAGCTTCAAATCTAGGACCTATTGTTTTCGTGCCACAAAGGGTGAAACCTATTATTATTTTTCATACTTTGATTCTGGCAAAAAAAGTCCCATGTTATATTACTGCTGCTATCGTTTTTGCATTTCAAGTACAGTACACTCACGATTATCTGCGCTAATGAAGGGGAGGACGACCGCGGATAATTCAAAATCGCGTAAAATCTAAAAATATAAATTTTCGGCGAATCTCTATTCCAAAAACTAACGATCGACCGATGGATGCGTGTGCTCATTGATAACAACTTTCCTGTTCCCGCGCAGAACACTCGACCCACTAAGTGGACACCAGCAGAGCCACGCCAATCAACATCAATAAAACTCCGCCAACTGTTGTAAAGATATTGCAACTACTGTACTGGAGGAGCGATCACGTGGATGTTAAATTCACCGGAGCAACATATATGTTCGATTTAAGCACGTGACTTGTAACAAACATTTCCAAGAATAACAATGTATGAATGATTTTTAACGTGAATTTCAGAGTTATAAATTTACGTCAAAATCTCAGGTGCGCGGGTTCATCCGAAAATTGGACAATCCGCACGCAGATAATCAAGAGTCGACTTTATTTCACAGACGGGTGTTCTTTTTGTTCACAAGGCCCGGCTATCCGGAGTCCGACTCACCGGGGATTTGCACCCCGCGATTGTAAACACGTCGCTTGCGACTCAACTATCAGGCACCGAAGGTCACGAGGCTCGCCCAGAGGTCACTCACTCGGCTCCGTGGGCAGCTGCAGCTTCCGTAATCCACGACCTCTCCCCCTCCCCCTGCCCCGCGCGGACACACGAGGGGAGGTGCTGCTGCTGCCGCTGCCGGCGAGTCTGATGTGGTCGGGGCTGCCCAGCGGCGACAGCGACGGTACTCCGCTGCCGTCGGTCGATCTCAGCCTCATGGCAGCCGACTGCACTCGCAAGCACAGACAAAGATACCCCCCCTCGTAGCTTCTGCAGGACGTCGGGGCGAGTGCCGTTCGTGAGCGGCCAATTCGTAAGCGCGCGCGCAACCAGTTCCGACTGCACGCGCGACCACAGTGCAACCTGTCACAACTAGACCACAACCACAGTCACAACCAGCCACAACTACACCACAACCACAGTCACAACCACAGTGCAACCTGTCACAACTAGACCACAACCACAGTCACGACCACAGTGCAACCTGTCACAACTAGACCACAACCACAGTCACAACCAGCCACAACTACACCACAACCATAGTCACGACCACAGTGCAACCAGTCACAACTACACCACAACCACAGTCACAACCACAGTACAACCTGTCACAACTACACCACAACCACAGTCACAACCACAGGGCAACCAGTCACAACTACAACACAACCACAGTCACGACCACAGGGCAACCTGTCACAACTACACCACAACCACAGTCACAACCACAGTGCAACCTGTCACAACTACACCACAACCACAGTCACAACCACAGTACAACCAGTCACAACTACAACACAACCACAGTCACAACCAGCCACAACTACACCACAACCACAGTCACAACCAGCCACAACTACACCACAACCACAGTCACAACCAGCCACAACTACACCACAACCACAGTGCAACCTGTCACAACTACACCACAACCACAGTCACAACCACAGGGCAATCAGTCACAACTACACCACAACCACAGTCACAACCACAGTACAACCTGTCACAACTACACCACAACCACAGTGCAACCTGTCACAACTACACCACAACCACAGTCACGACCACAGTACAACCTGTCACAACTACACCACAACCACAGTCACAACCACAGTACAACCTGTCACAACTACACCACAACCACAGTCACAACCACAGGGCAACCAGTCACAACTACACCACAACTACAGTCACGACCACAGGGCAACCTGTCACAACTACACCACAACCACAGTCACAACCACAGTACAACCTGTCACAACTACACCACAACCACAGTCACAACCACAGTGCAACCAGTCACTACTACACCACAACCACAGTCACAACCAGTCGCAACTACACCACAACCACAGTCACTACTACAGTACAATCAGTCACTACTACACCACAACCACAGTCACAACCACAGTACAACCTGTCACTACTACACCACAACCACCGTCACAACCACCGTGCAACCGCGGTCATGACCGCACGAGCAAGCCGGCCATATTCTCCCGAAATCGCCACAACGTCGGCTCACAACGGGCCATTCTGGTTTCCCAAGGGCCAGGAGGTTGTCCACCGACCTCTACGGCCTGCAGGCGCTCCTCCGGGGACCTGTACGCATTCTGCGCCCGCAGGCTCAGCGTCAGCAGCAGCGGCGACCTCTTGCCGATCGCCGTCAGGTGCTGGTAGTTGCTGGACGTGCCGCTCCCCGACCCGCCAGGACCGATGGCGCCGCCGCCGCCGCCGCCGCCGGTTCCACCGCCGCCCTCGGCCGCTTCCTTGAGCCGCTTGCGCGCCGTGTCGGGGATCACCTTGTGGCATGAGTCGCAGGTCGTGAGGTCCTCGCTCTTCTTGCCACAGTTGTTGCAGACCGCCCAGAACTGTTTGTCAGCGCCGTCGAGAGGCGGGCGCAGCTGAGAGAGCGAGCGAGCGAGCGAGCGCATTAATATACTGTAGTGACCTCGTCACGCACGGTCCACGACCTCGTCGCGCACGGTCCACGACCTCGTCACGCACGGTCCACGACCTCGTCACACACGGTCCACGACCTCGTCACACAAGGTGCACGACCTCGTCACGCACGGTCCACAACCTCGTCACACACGGTCCACGACCTCGTCACACAAGGTGCACGACCTCGTCACGCACGGTCCACAACCTCGTCACACACGGTCCACGACCTCGTCACGCACGGTCCACGACCTCGTCACGCACGGTCCACAACCTCGTCACGCACGGTCCACGACCTCGTCACACACGGTCCATGACCTCGTCACACACGGTCCATGACCTCGTCACGCACGGTCCACGACCTCGTCACGCACGGTCCACGACCTCGTCACGCACGGTCCACGACCTCGTCTCAACAAGGTCCGCGACCTCGTCTCAACAAGGTCCGCGACCTCGTCACACAAGGTCCGCGACCTCGTTACGCACGGTCCACGACCTCGTCGCGCACAGTCCACGACCTCGTCACGCACGGTCCACGACCTCGTCTCAACAAAGTCCACGACCTCGTCACACACGGTCCACGACCTCGTCACACAAGGTCCACGACCTTGTCTTAACAAGGTCCACGACCTCGTCACACACGGTCCACGACCTCATCACACACGGTCCACGACCTTGTCTCAACAAGGTCCACGACCTCGTCTTAACAAGGTCCACGACCTCGTCACACACGGTCCACGACCTCGTCACACACGGTCCACGACCTCGTCTTAACAAGGTCCACGACCTCGTCACACACGGTCCACGACCTCGTCACACACGGTCCGCGACCTCGTCACGCACGGTCCACGACCTCGTCACACACGGTCCACGACCTCGTCGCACACGGACACACGGAGAAACCAATCTCGCACCCATTGAGACACACAGAGACACATAGAGAAACAGAGACCTATAGAGTTACGTAGATACTCATAGAGACACAGAAACACAGATATATTAATCACAAGCCACAGTAACGCAATTGTGGCCATGCAATGCAAACGATGGACCATATAGTAAACCAACTGAGACACACAGAGACTCAGAGACACAGACTCATAGACAAACGTTAAAGACAAGCCACAGTAGTGTGATTGTGGCCATGCTTCCAACACTACAGAACCACACAGTAAACACCACTGTCATCTGCGCTCCTTCAACGGAGGCCGAGGGAGGACCACACAAACTCTCTCCTCGACATTGGCATCGAGCCCCTTGACGGCACTGCCGCCATTGTCGGCTGCGCACGGTGCGAAAGAAGTTCAGCATATGCCTACGTACATACACACGAGTGTGGGTCTCTATGGGTCCCGGTAGGTTCTCTACGGTTCGATACGTACATGCACATGAGTGTGGGTCTCTATGGGTCTCGGTAGGTTCTCTACGGTTCGATACGTACATGCACATGAGTGTGGGTCTCTATGGGTCTCGGTAGGTTCTCTACGGTTCGATACGTACATGCACATGAGTGTGGGTCTCTATGGGTCTCGGTAGGTTCTCTACGGTTCGATACGTACATGCACATGAGTGTGGGTCTCTATGGGTCTCGGTAGGTTCTCTACGGTTCGATACGTACATGCACATGAGTGTGGGTCTCTATGGGTCTCGGTAGGGTCTCTACGGTTCGATACGTACATGCACATGAGTGTGGGTCTCTATGGGTCTCGGTGGGTTCTCTATGGGTCTCGGTAGGGTCTCTACGGTTCGATACGTACATGCACATGAGTGTGGGTCTCTATAGGTCTCGGTAGGTTCTCTACGGTTCGATACGTACATGCACACGAGTGTGGGTCTCTATGGGTCTCGGTAGGTTTTCTACGGTTCGATACGTACATGCACATGAGTGTGGGTCTCTATGGGTCTCGGTGGGTTCTCTATGGGTCTCGGTGGGTTCTCTATGGGTCTCGGTGGGTTCTCTATGGGTCTCGGTGGGTTCTCTATGGGTCTCTGGGTTGTCTATGGGTCTCGGTGGGTTCTCTATGGGTCTCTGGGTTGTCTATGGGTCTCGGTGGGTTCTCTATGGGTCTCGGTGGGTTCTCTATGGGTCTCGGTGGGTTCTCTATGGGTCTCGGTGGGTTCTCTATGGGTCTCGGTGGGTTCTCTATGGGTCTCTGGGTTGTCTATGGGTCTCGGTGGGTTCTCTATGGGTCTCTGGGTTGTCTATGGGTCTCGGTGGGTTCTCTATGGGTCTCGGTGGGTTCTCTATGGGTCTCGGTGGGTTCTCTATGGGTCTCGGTGGGTTCTCTATGGGTCTCTGGGTTGTCTATGGGTCTCGGTGGGTTCTCTATGGGTCTCTGGGTTGTCTATGGGTCTCGGTGGGTTCTCTATGGGTCTCGGTGGGTTCTCTATGGGTCTCGGTGGGTTCTCTATGGGTCTCGGTGGGTTCTCTATGGGTCTCGGTGGGTTCTCTATGGGTCTCGGTGGGTTCTCTATGGGTCTCTGGGTTGTCTATGGGTCTCGGTGGGTTCTCTATGGGTCTCGGTGGGTTCTCTATGGGTCTCGGTGGGTTCTCTATGGGTCTCGGTGGGTTCTCTATGGGTCTCGGTGGGTTCTCTATGGGTCTCGGTGGGTTCTCTATGGGTCTCGGTGGGTTCTCTATGGGTCTCGGTGGGTTCTCTATGGGTCTCGGTGGGTTCTCTATGGGTCTCGGTGGGTTCTCTATGGGTCTCTGGGTTGTCTATGGGTCTCGGTGGGTTCTCTATGGGTCTCGGTGGGTTGTCTATGGGTCTCGGTGGGTTCTCTATGGGTCTCGGTGGGTTCTCTATGGGTCTCGGTGGGTTCTCTATGGGTCTCGGTGGGTTCTCTATGGGTCTCGTGGGTTCTCTATGGGTCTCGGTGGGTTCTCTATGGGTCTCGTGGGTTGTCTATGGGTCTCGGTGGGTTCTCTATGGGTCTCGGTGGGTTCTCTATGGGTCTCGGTGGGTTCTCTATGGGTCTCGGTGGGTTCTCTATGGGTCTCGGTGGGTTCTCTATGGGTCTCGGTGGTTCTCTAGGGGTCTCGGTGGGTTCTCTATGGGTCTCGGTGGGTTCTCTATGGGTCTCGGTGGGTTCTCTATGGGTCTCGGTGGGTTCTCTATGGGTCTCGGTGGGTTCTCTATGGGTCTCGGTGGGTTCTCTATGGGTCTCGGTGGGTTCTCTATGGGTCTCGTGGTTCTCTATGGGTCTCGGTGGGTTCTCTATGGGTCTCGGTGGGTTCTCTATGGGTCTCGTGGGTTCTCTATGGGTCTCGGTGGGTTCTCTATGGGTCTCGGTGGGTTCTCTATGGGTCTCGGTGGGTTCTCTATGGGTCTCGGTGGGTTCTCTATGGGTCTCGTGGGTTGCTCTATGGTCTCGGTGGGTTCTCTATGGGTCTCGGTGGTTCTCTATGGGTCTCGGTGGGTTCTCTATGGGTCTCGGTGGGTTCTCTATGGGTCTCGGTGGGTTCTCTATGGGTCTCGGTGGGTTCTCTATGGGTCTCTGGTTGTCTATGGGTCTCGGTGGGTTCTCTATGGGTCTCGGTGGGTTCTCTATGGTCTCGGTGGGTTCTCTATGGGTCTCGGTGGGTTCTCTATGGGTCTCGGTGGGTTCTCTATGGGTCTCGGTGGGTTCTCTATGGGTCTCGGTGGGTTCTCTATGGGTCTCGGTGGGTTCTCTATGGGTCTCGTGGGTTCTCTATGGGTCTCGGTGGGTTCTCTATGGGTCTCGGTGGGTTCTCTATGGGTCTCGGTGGGTTCTCTATGGGTCTCGGTGGGTTCTCTATGGGTCTCGGTGGGTTCTCTATGGGTCTCGGTGGGTTCTCTATGGGTCTCGGTGGGTTCTCTATGGGTCTCGGTGGGTTCTCTATGGGTCTCGGTGGGTTCTCTATGGGTCTCGGTGGGTTCTCTATGGGTCTCGGTGGGTTCTCTATGGGTCTCGGTGGGTTCTCTATGGGTCTCGGTGGGTTCTCTATGGGTCTCGGTGGGTTCTCTATGGTCTCGGTGGGTTCTCTATGGGTCTCGGTGGGTTCTCTATGGGTCTCGGTGGGTTCTCTATGGGTCTCGGTGGGTTCTCTATGGGTCTCGGTGGGTTCTCTATGGGTCTCGGTGGGTTCTCTATGGGTCTCGGTGGGTTCTCTATGGGTCTCGGTGGGTTCTCTATGGGTCTTCGGTGGGTTCTCTATGGGTCTCGGTGGGTTCTCTATGGGTCTCGGTGGGTTCTCTATGGGTCTCGGTGGGTTCTCTATGGGTCTCGGTGGGTTCTCTATGGGTCTCGGTGGGTTCTCTATGGGTCTCGGTGGGTTCTCTATGGGTCTCGGTGGGTTCTCTATGGGTCTCGGTGGGTTCTCTATGGGTCTCGGTGGGTTCTCTATGGGTCTCGGTGGGTTCTCTATGGGTCTCGGTGGGTTCTCTATGGGTCTCGGTGGGTTCTCTATGGGTCTCGGTGGGTTCTCTATGGGTCTCGGTGGGTTCTCTATGGGTCTCGGTGGGTTCTCTATGGGTCTCGGTGGGTTCTCTATGGGTCTCGGTGGGTTCTCTATGGGTCTCGGTGGGTTCTCTATGGGTCTCGGTGGGTTCTCTATGGGTCTCGGTGGGTTCTCTATGGGTCTCGGTGGGTTCTCTATGGGTCTCGGTGGGTTCTCTATGGGTCTCGGTGGGTTCTCTATGGGTCTCGGTGGGTTCTCTATGGGTCTCGGTGGGTTCTCTATGGGTCTCGGTGGGTTCTCTATGGGTCTCGGTGGGTTCTCTATGGGTCTCGGTGGTTCTCTATGGGTCTCGGTGGGTTCTCTATGGGTCTCGGTGGGTTCTCTATGGGTCTCGGTGGGTTCTCTATGGGTCTCGGTGGGTTCTCTATGGGTCTCGGTGGGTTCTCTATGGGTCTCGGTGGGTTCTCTATGGGTCTCGGTGGGTTCTCTATGGGTCTCGGTGGGTTCTCTATGGGTCTCGGTGGGTTCTCTATGGGTCTCGGTGGGTTCTCTATGGGTCTCGGTGGGTTCTCTATGGGTCTCGGTGGGTTCTCTATGGGTCTCGGTGGGTTCTCTATGGGTCTCGGTGGGTTCTCTATGGGTCTCGGTGGGTTCTCTATGGGTCTCGGTGGGTTCTCTATGGTCTCGGTGGGTTCTCTATGGGTCTCGGTGGGTTCTCTATGGGTCTCGGTGGGTTCTCTATGGGTCTCGGTGGGTTCTCTATGGGTCTCGGTGGGTTCTCTATGGGTCTCGGTGGGTTCTCTATGGGTCTCGGTGGGTTCTCTATGGGTCTCGGTGGGTTCTCTATGGGTCTCGGTGGGTTCTCTATGGGTCTCGGTGGGTTCTCTATGGGTCTCGGTGGGTTCTCTATGGGTCTCGGTGGGTTCTCTATGGGTCTCGGTGGGTTCTCTATGGGTCTCGGTGGGTTCTCTATGGGTCTCGGTGGGTTCTCTATGGGTCTCGGTGGGTTCTCTATGGGTCTCGGTGGGTTCTCTATGGGTCTCGGTGGGTTCTCTATGGGTCTCGGTGGGTTCTCTATGGGTCTCGGTGGGTTCTCTATGGGTCTCGGTGGGTTCTCTATGGGTCTCGGTGGGTTCTCTATGGGTCTCGGTGGGTTCTCTATGGGTCTCGGTGGGTTCTCTATGGGTCTCGGTGGGTTCTCTATGGGTCTCGGTGGGTTCTCTATGGGTCTCGGTGGGTTCTCTATGGGTCTCGGTGGGTTCTCTATGGGTCTCGGTGGGTTCTCTATGGGTCTCGGTGGGTTCTCTATGGGTCTCGGTGGGTTCTCTATGGGTCTCGGTGGGTTCTCTATGGGTCTCGGTGGGTTCTCTATGGGTCTCGGTGGGTTCTCTATGGGTCTCGGTGGGTTCTCTATGGGTCTCGGTGGGTTCTCTATGGGTCTCGGTGGGTTCTCTATGGGTCTCGGTGGGTTCTCTATGGGTCTCGGTGGGTTCTCTATGGGTCTCGGTGGGTTCTCTATGGGTCTCGGTGGGTTCTCTATGGGTCTCGGTGGGTTCTCTATGGGTCTCGGTGGGTTCTCTATGGGTCTCGGTGGGTTCTCTATGGGTCTCGGTGGGTTCTCTATGGGTCTCGGTGGGTTCTCTATGGGTCTCGGTGGGTTCTCTATGGGTCTCGGTGGGTTCTCTATGGGTCTCGGTGGGTTCTCTATGGGTCTCGGTGGGTTCTCTATGGGTCTCGGTGGGTTCTCTATGGGTCTCGGTGGGTTCTCTATGGGTCTCGGTGGGTTCTCTATGGGTCTCGTGGGGTCTCTATGGGTCTCGGTGGGTTCTCTATGGGTCTCGGTGGGTTCTCTATGGGTCTCGGTGGGTTCTCTATGGGTCTCGGTGGGTTCTCTATGGTCTCGGTGGGTTCTCTATGGTCTCGGTGGGTTCTCTATGGGTCCTCGGTGGGTTCTCTATGGGTCTCGGTGGGTTCTCTATGGGTCTCGGTGGGTTCTCTATGGGTCTCGGTGGGTTTCTCTATGGGTCTCGGTGGGTTCTCTATGGGTCTCGGTGGGTTCTCTATGGGTCTCGGTGGGTTCTCTATGGGTCTCGGTGGGTTCTCTATGGGTCTCGGTGGGTTCTCTATGGGTCTCGGTGGGTTCTCTATGGGTCTCGGTGGGTTCTCTATGGGTCTCGGTGGGTTCTCTATGGGTCTCGGTGGGTTCTCTATGGGTCTCGGTGGGTTCTCTATGGGTCTCGGTGGGTTCTCTATGGGTCTCGGTGGGTTCTCTATGGGTCTCGGTGGGTTCTCTATGGGTCTCGGTGGGTTCTCTATGGGTCTCGGTGGGTTCTCTATGGGTCTCGGTGGGTTCTCTATGGGTGGGTTCTCTATGGGTCTCGGTGGGTTCTCTATGGGTCTCGGTGGGTTCTCTATGGGTCTCGGTGGGTTCTCTATGGTCTGGGGTCTCTATGGGTCTCGGTGGGTTCTCTATGGGTCTCGGTGGGTTCTCTATGGGTCTCGGTGGGTTCTCTATGGGTCTCGGTGGGTTCTCTATGGGTCTCGGTGGGTTCTCTATGGGTCTCGGTGGGTTCTCTATGGGTCTCGGTGGGTTCTCTATGGGTGTCGGTGGGTTCTCTAGGGGTCTCGGTGGGTTCTCTATGGGTCTCGTGGTTCTCTATGGGTCTCGGTGGTTCTCTATGGTCTCGGTGGTTCTCTATGGGTCTCGGTGGTTCTCTATGGGTTCTCGGTGGGTTCTCTATGGGTCTCGGTGGTTCTCTATGGGTGCTCGGTGGGTTCTCTATGGGTCTCCGGTAGGGGTCTCTATGGGGTCTCGGTGGTTCTCTATGGTCTCGGTGGGTTCTCTAGGTCTCGGTGGGTTCTCTATGGGTCTCGGTGGGTCTCTATGGTCTCGGTGGGTTTCTCTATGGGTTCTCGGTGGGTTCTCTATGGGTCTCGGTGGGTTCTCTATGGGTCTCGGTGGGTTCTCTATGGGTCTCGGTGGGTTCTCTATGGGTCTCTGTGGGTTCTCTATGGGTCTCGTGGTGTTTCTCTATTGGTCTCGGCGGTGGTTCTCTCTGTGTCTCGGTGGGTCTCCTATGGGTCTCGGTGGGTTCTCTATGGTCTCGGTGGTTCTATTGGGTCTCGGTGGGTTCTCTATGGTCTCGGTGGGTTCTCTATGGGTCTCGGTGGGTTCTCTATGGGTCTCGGTGGGTTCTCTATGGGTCTCGGTGGGTTCTCTATGGGTCTCGGTGGGTTTCTCTATGGGTCTCGGTGGGTTCTCTATGGGTCTCGGTAGGGTCTCTATGGGTCTCGGTGGGTTCTCTATGGGTCTCGGTGGGTTCTCTATGGGTCTCGGTGGGTTCTCTATGGGTCTCGGTGGGTTCTCTATGGGTCTCGGTGGGTTCTCTATGGGTCTCGGTGGGTTCTCTATGGGTCTCGGTAGGGTCTCTATGGGTCTCGGTGGGTTCTCTATGGGTCTCGGTGGGTTCTCTATGGGTCTCGGTGGGTTCTCTATGGGTCTCTGGGTTCTCTATGGGTCTCGGTAGGGTCTCTATGGGTCTCGGTGGGTTCTCTATGGGTCTCGGTGGGTTCTCTATGGGTCTCGGTGGGTTCTCTATGGGTCTCGGTGGGTTCTCTATGGGTCTCGGTGGGTTCTCTATGGGTCTCGGTGGGTTCTCTATGGGTCTCGGTGGGTTCTCTATGGGTCTCGGTGGGTTCTCTATGGGTCTCGGTGGGTTCTCTATGGGTCTCGGTGGGTTCTCTATGGGTCTCGGTGGGTTCTCTATGGGTCTCGGTGGGTTCTCTATGGGTCTCGGTGGGTTCTCTATGGGTCTCGGTGGGTTCTCTATGGGTCTCGGTGGGTTCTCTATGGGTCTCGGTGGGTTCTCTATGGGTCTCGGTGGGTTCTCTATGGGTCTCGGTGGGTTCTCTATGGGTCTCGGTGGGTTCTCTATGGGTCTCGGTGGGTTCTCTATGGGTCTCGGTGGGTTCTCTATGGGTCTCGGTGGGTTCTCTATGGGTCTCGGTGGGTTCTCTATGGGTCTCGGTGGGTTCTCTATGGGTCTCGGTGGGTTCTCTATGGGTCTCGGTGGGTTCTCTATGGGTCTCGGTGGGTTCTCTATGGGTCTCGGTGGGTTCTCTATGGGTCTCGGTGGGTTCTCTATGGGTCTCGGTGGGTTCTCTATGGGTCTCGGTGGGTTCTCTATGGGTCTCTGGGTTCTCTATGGCTCTATAAAAGCCACTGGGAGCTTTGCACTGCTTTTCGTCCTTAGTTTGTTGCCCTTCTACCACCCCCCCACCCACACCTCAGATTAGCGCGGTTGGCTACGTACGGCGCGAAAGAAGTTCAACGTACACACACACACTCACACATGGCGCAGGAGCAACTGGCGCTAGTTCACAGTGCAGCACGGAGCACGGAGCGCGGAGCGCGGGGCAAGGGGCAAGGGGCAAGGGGCAAGGGGGCAAGGGGCAAGGGGCAAGGGGCAAGGGGGCAAGGGGGCAAGGGGCAAGGGGCAAGGGGCGGCGCGTCCCTCTCACCGCCGAGCGGTGAGCGGTGACGCTGGCGGATGCCGGCTCCGTGGGCGTGCCGGGGGAGAGCAGCACGCCCCCCGCCGTCACGTCCCTGCCGCCCCGCTTGAAAATCACCTTGCGGCAAAACTCGGACGCCTTCTCCACGCTGGCGGCGGCGGCGTCCAGGGCGTCGTCTGCACGCACGAGGGCGGGGGGGGGGGCGGAGGGGTGGGTGGGGTGGGGGGCGGAGGGGTGGGTGGGGTGGGGGGAAGACGCACGCAAGGGCGTCAGAAGTTTCGTCAGGTTTATTTTTGTTGCAGCAGGCGAGAAGTCACGGGGCCCAGGAGAGAGTGGGGGAGGAGGAGGTTGGGGGGGGGGGGGGAATCTCGTTTGCAAGAGTGAGATGTTAACTACCTCGCCTGGTATGCAGGAGGTCGTGGGTTGGACCCCGAGCATGAGGCCTGCTGCTGCTGCTGCTGTAGATTTGGTCCTCCGGTTTTTTCCCTCCACATTTAGAATCAACATCACACGTTTCAGGTATTTGGCTGCTATCAATTTCCACGAGATGAGCCACTGTATAGAGCCATCATTTGTGGCCAGGTCACTTCTGAAAAAGAAGCTACATAGCTCAGAGGGCCTGAGACCTGGCACCATAAAACTAGACTCGAGCGATGGCATCGAAACGGGCAGAGCGGCAACGCAAACTGCAATCGGAGCACCGGCGACGACGAGAACAGCAGCAGCAGCCGAACAGAAATCGGGAGCGCGGCGAACAACCGTATCGCGGAAGAAATCCAAAAACGGTGCACAAAAACACAAACCGATGCCAAATCAGACAGCCGAGAACCGACGGCATCTTCGGACGCGTTCGAATTTCAGGCCGGGGCCGGCCTCCGCTTCCGCGCTGCCGAGAGAGCGAGCTCGCTGTTGTTCACACGCGCTTGAGCGCAGTACCTGCTGGAGCAACGGAGGTCACCCGGGTCACGGAGTCGCTGCCATTGCCGAGTCTTTCCTTGACTCCGAGCACCACCACCGGGTACAGCTGCGTCCTCCCAGTGGGGTCGTCATCCTTGCTGTTAGAGAAACACGGCGGGGCGGCGGGGTTCTTATTCGCGTCTCTCACCACGCATGCTCATTACGCTCTGCTCACACACTCGTAACACACACTCACTCGTAACACACACTCACTCGTAACACACACTCACTCGTAACACACACTCACTCGTAACACACACTCACTCGTAACACACACTCACTCGTAACACACACTCACTCGTAACACTCTGCTCACACACTCGTAACACACACTCGTAACACACACTCACTCGTAACACTCTGCACACACTCACTCGTAACACTCTGCACACTCACTCGTAACACTCTGCTCACACACTCACTCGTAACACACACTCACTCGTAACACACACTCACTCGTAACACACACTCACTCGTAACACACACTCACTCGTAACACACACTCACTCGTAACACACACTCACTCGTAACACACACTCACTCGTAACACACACTCACTCGTAACACACACTCACTCGTAACACACACTCACTCGTAACACACACTCACTCGTAACACACACTCACTTGTAACACACACTCACTCGTAACACACACTCACTCGTAACACACACTCACTCGTAACACACACTCACTCGTAACACACACTCTCTCGTAACACACACTCACTCGTAACACACACTCACTCGTAACACACACTCACTCGTAACACACACTCACTCGTAACACTCTGCTCACACACTCGTAACACACACACTCGTAACACACACTCACTCGTAACACTCTGCTCACACACTCGTAACACACACTCACTCGTAAAACACACTCACTCGTAACACACACTCACTCGTAACACTCTGCTCACACACTCGTAACACACACTCACTCGTAACACACACTCACTCGTAACACACACTCACTCGTAACACACACTCACTCGTAACACACACTCACTCGTAACACACACTCACTCGTAACACACACTCACTCGTAACACACACTCACTCGTAACACACACTCACTCGTAACACACACTCACTCGTAACACACACTCACTCGTAACACACACTCACTCGTAACACTCTGCTCACACACTCGTAACACACACACTCGTAACACACACTCACTCGTAACACACACTCATAACGCTCTGCTCACACACTCGTAACACACACACTCGTAACACACACTCGCTCATAACAAACACTCGGCTCACACACTCATAACACACACTCGTAACACACACTCGCTCGTAACAAACATTCTGCTCACACACTCGTAACACACACTCGTAACACACACTCACAACACACACACACTCGTAACAATCAATCCACTGGCGCAATCATATCACACACAACACACACACTTGGATATAAATCACTCAACTCGCACTCATAACAAATACAAAGGTACTCCATATACAGTGACTGATCATTTCTTTGTCAGTGGGCAAACGTACAAAATCAGCAGAGGATCAAATACTTGTTTCCCTCACTGTACACACTACACTACACACTACGCTATACACTACAATACATTACACTATACACGACGCAGACGCAATACGCTTCATTGTACACTAAACTACTATACGTGACGACACTAGAATTCTTTCAACACACGGAAATAAATACACACGTTCACCAACTTCGAAACTCCCGCACCCTACACCGCCCCCCCTCCCCGCTCCGCCCCTCCGCAAAACACAGCGGCCTGGTAGCAGCAGCAGCAGCCACGGCACGCTGGCGCCGGCGCCGGCACCGCAACAACGAACAACGGGTAAATGCACGTCGGAGCCGCCCGGCTCCGTCCGCTCACCGTTGAAGTGTCTCCTCGCTCTGGGCGTTGGCGTGCAGGAACCAGCGCCCTCCCACCACCGTGCCGGCCGCCGCGGCCGAGGCCTGAGGGCTGCTGCGGAGCATGCGCGGCCGCTCCCTAGGCCAAACGGTTCAGCGGCACGACAAGAGACAAGAGACAAACGACCGCCGTCCCCCCCCCTCCCCCGTGCAGCCTTAACACCGCCGCCGCCAAGGCACGTGCCGTCTTGCGGGTAGCACCTGCAAAAGGAAGGCCGGTGCGGCGCACGCGCGCGCGAGGGGGGGGGGGCGCGGGTGGCCGACACCGCGCCCGGCCGTCTTTGTGCCCCCCACCGTGGGCGATGTTTACTACACACCGCACCGGGAACTCATTTGACGCCGAGCCGACCTAGGGGAGGGCCCCCGGGGCCGGTTCAAGATAATCGCCATCGCTGTTGGTGGCCGCGAGCGGGAATCGAACTCGGGTTCGTGGCGCGGCGTAGCGCGAACCGCGGCGACACCACAACGGCCGCCGTTTCATTTGTAACAGCTGCGAGGTTTGCCGCGTCAACCGCTGACGGATGGGCGGCAAGGCGGCCAGAACCGGAGCCAACAAACAACTGCCAGCGCCCTGTGGTCCTGTGTTGGGATGTTGTGGCCAACTCAGTTATTAATAATAATAATGGCTGTTTTACTCACCGTTCGTAATAATCATTTCATTTTATATCGCGCCATTCATGCAATTGCATCCCACAAAAAAAATTACACCCACTGCTTGGCAAATAAATAAATAAAAATGAGTACATAAATAACAAGAAAAAAAATGCACGTGACAAGATACAAAATGATCGCAGGGAAACATGAATGTAAATAAATAAATAACTCCGTTCAGCCTCCATACCCCCAAGACCACAGTCCCAACATTTTGCCGGATTTTGGAGAACTTTCACTGGAGAGTTGGTGGAGTGGCCAAAGAATGACGAGCCAGTTGGACGATAACGTACATGCCTATTGTCCAGCGTATGCCAGGACATTAGGAGGGAAGACACGCGGAACAGGGGGAGAACGCACAAACTCCACACAGAGAGGCGTCGGGAGTTGGGAAGCGAACCCAGGTGCCTCCTTGATGCGCGAGGCAGCAGCGTCAGCACTGCGCTGCCACCAGCCTGCCGCATTTGCCATCCTTCCCCCCTCCGCACCTCCCGTTGGCACGGGTTGGCTGCGTACGATTCTAAAGAAGTTCAACAGAAGTGGAACGGGCTACAGGTTGTGGGACCCCGGAAGCAACCTCGCCGAGTTCGCTACCTGGACGAGTTTTCCGCGGTGGGCAACCGGGCCCTGGTCTGGGTGGGCGATGTTGGTGCCCTGGTCTGGGTGGGCGATGTTGGTGCCCTGGTCTGGGTGGGCGATGTTCGTGCCCCGCGTCCTCCTTTGGCGAAGTACAAGCTTGTAGACTTCTGCGCACAACACACGCCGCATCGTCGTCACCACCACCGCATCGTCACCACCACCGCCGCTTCGCCACCACCGCATCGTCACATCCACCACATCGTCGTCACCACCACCGCGTCACCACCACCACCACGTCGTCACCACCGCATCGTCACCACCACCGCATCGTCGTTACCACCACCGCGTCACCACCACCGCATCGTCGTCACCGCATCGTGGTCACCACCACCGCATCGTCACCACCACCGCATCGTCGTCACCACCACCGCCACGTCGTCACCACCACCGCATCGTCGTCACCATCACCACCACCGCGTCACCACCGCCACGTCGTCACCACCACCGCATCGTCGTCACCACCACCACCACCGCGTCACCACCGCCACGTCACCACCACCGCATCGTCGTCACCACCACCACCACCGCGTCACCACCGCCACGTCACCACCACCGCATCGTCGTCACCACCACCGCATCGTTGTTACCACCACCTAATCGTCACCACCACCGCCACGTCACCACCACCGCATCGTTGTTACCACCACCTAATCGTCACCACCGCCGCCGCGTCACCACCGCCGCCGCGTCACAAGCACTAGATTGGCAAACGAATTTCTTGAGAAGTGCTTTGTGTTGAGTTTGTTGTCCTTGCCACCGCAACTCGGACGGGCGCGGTTGGCAACGTACGGCGCGAAAGGAGTTCAACGTACGTACGCACAAAGGATAAAAAGGCGCAGCCCTGCAATGTCTTACTCACACCACTGCTGACGGAAAGACCCCCCGCCCCCCCAGAGCCCCTCTGGGAAAATATTTATCCCCTTGACCCCACGCCGGCCACACATCTTCGGAAGAGGTGGGGGTACCCACCACTTTACCCCACCTACTGTGACCGCTGCTGAAATTCGCACGGCGCCTACCCCAGCCTAAACTTAAACCATTTTTTGTTTATTTCACCAAGTGAGGCCCACCCAGCTACGTTGCTCTTTTTCAGAAGCGATCTGGCTGTCACAAATGACAGCTCAACGAAGCGGGCTCATCACTTGGAAATGTAAAGCAGCCAAATACTGTTAAACGCACATCGAGTCTCAGTGTGGAGGGAAAAACCGGAGGGCCCGAGGAAAAATCCACAAGACCACAGTAAAAGAGAGAGAGACACGCAGACTCCGAATATACAACAGCAGGCGTCAGGGTCGAGATCGAACCCACGACCTCCTGTACACCAGGCGAGGTAGTTAACATCTCCAAGCCACCGTGATGATGAGAGAGAGACACGCAACTCCAAATATACAGCAGCAGGAGTCAGGGTCGGGATCGAACCCCACGACCACCTGTATACCAGGCGAGGCAATTAACGTCTCCTAGCCACCATGGCAGAACCTACCTTGACATCACCGCATTCCATATTGAGGTGCCTCAGCGGAGACAGCTGGACCATGGACACGTCCTTGGTCAGATCCGTCCTCAGCGGGATGGTGAACGCGACGCTCTTCACCTCCTTGGGACAAAAAAAGCGGCACGCAGATTCAGCCGCGTGGCAAAACGTGGCAGCAGGAGGACGCCGCGGTGGCTAGGAGATGTTAACTACCTCGCCTGGTACACAGGAGGTCGTGGTGTGTGCGTCTCTCTCATCATCATGGTGGCTAGGAGATGTTAACTACCTCGCTTGGTACACAGGAGGTCGTGGTGTGTGCGTCTCTCTCATCATCATCACGGTGGCTAGGAGATGTAAACTACCTCGCTTGGTACACAGGAGGTCGTGGTGTGTGCGTCTCTCTCATCATCATCACGGTGGCTAGGAGATGTTAACTACCTCGCCTGATACACAGGAGGTCGTGGTGTGTGCGTCTCTCTCATCATCATCACGGTGTCTAGGAGATGTTAAATACCTCGCCTGGTATACAGGAGGTCGTGGTGTGTGCGTCTCTCTCATCATCACCACGGTGTCTAGATGTTAACTACCTCGCCTGGTATACAGGAGGTCGTGGGTGCGATCTTGACCCTGACGCCTGCTGCTGTATATGTGGAGTTTGCGTGTCTCTCTCTCATCATCATCACGGTGGCTAGGAGATGTTAACTACCTCGCCTGGTACACAGGAGGTCGTTGTGTGTGCATCTCTCTCATTATCATCATGGTGTCTAGGAGATGTTAACTACCTCGCCTGGTACACAGGAGGTCGTGGTATGTGCGTCTCTCTCATCATCATCACGATGTCTAGGAGATGTTAACTACCTCGCCTGGTACACAGGAGGTCGTGGGTGCGATCCTGACCCTGACGCCCGCTGCTGTATATTTAAGAGTCTGCGTGTCTCTCTCTCTCATCATCATCACGGTGGCTAGGAGATGTTAACTACCTCGCCTGGTACACAGGAGGTCGTTGTGTGTGCGTCTCTCTCATCATCATCACGGTGTCTAGGAGATGTTAACTACCTCGCCTGGTACACCGGAGGTCGTGGTATGTGCGTCTCTCTCATCATCATCACGGTGGCTAGGAGATGTCAACTACCTCGCCAGGTCTACAGGAAGTTCGTGGGTTCGATCCAGACCCTGACGCCTGCTGCTGTATATTTAAGAGTTTGCGTGTCTCTCCCCGTGGTCGCGTGGATTTTTCTGCGGGTCCGCCAGTTTTCCCCTCCACAGTTAGAATCAACGTCACCATGCGTCTAGAGAGTCTTTGTCTCTCTACACACGTGGCATTGTGTGTAGAGAGTCTTTGTCTCTCTACACACGTGACATTGCGTCTAGAGTCTTTGTCTCTCTACACACGTGGCAGTGCGTCTAGAGAGTCTTTGTCTCTCTGCACACGTGGCAGTGCGTCTAGAGAGTCTTTGTCTCTCTACACGCGTGGCATTGTGTGTAGAGAGTCTTTGTCTCTCTACACACGTGACATTGTGTGTAGAGAGTCTTTGTCTGTCTACACGCGTGGCATTGTGTGTAGAGAGTCTTTGTCTCTCTACACACGTGACATTGTGTGTAGAGAGTCTTTGTCTGTCTACACGCGTGGCATTGTGTGTAGAGAGTCTTTGTCTCTCTACACACGTGACATTGTGTGTAGAGAGTCTTTGTCTCTCTACACACGTGGCATTGCGTGTAGAGAGTCTATGTCTCTCTACACACGTGACATTGTGTGTAGAGAGTCTTTGTCTCTCTACACACGTGGCATTGTGTGTAGAGAGTCTTTGTCTCTCTACACGCGTGGCATTGTGTGTAGAGAGTCTTTGTCTCTCTACACGCGTGGCATTGTGTGTAGAGTCTTTGTCTCTCTACACGCGTGGCATTGCCTGCAGAGTCTTTGTCTCTCTACACGCGTGGCATAATTTTGAAGATCACATTGATTATATTGGTAAAAAGGCAAAAATAAAAATTGTTTTTCTGTATCGACACAAGCACTGCTTCCCCCCAATGTTCCGTTTGTAATTGGGAAAAGCTACCATACTGCCTCTACTTGACTACTGTGACATCGTGTATAAATCAGCCCCAAGTACTGTACTGAAAAAGCTTGATTCCACCTATCACTCGGCCTTAAGATTTGCATTGAACTGCCCATATAGGGCTCACCACTGTGATCTCTACATTGGGTCAAACTTAACATATCTTAATGTTCGACGGCTTGTGCACCAGATCTTATTTATTCACGATGTACTTACAAAAAAATCCGCAGACTACCTACTGGATCTCCTCTCTGTTTCAAAGAACAAATTTGACCTCAGATCTTCGCTCATTTACCAGCTTCACATTCCCTATTGCCGTACAAAAAACGGAGTAGGGCCTTTGCTATTGATGCCCCCAGGGTCTGGAATCCTATTGCCAATAAACTGCAACTTGAATCACTACCTATGAGATCTTCACTCAAAACTGCTCTAGAGGAGTTGTACACCCCTAGCTGCCACTGCTATTCAGTGGCCTAAAATATGGCTCTAGATTTTGGTGTTATAATTTATTTACGTAGTTTATTGTTAAAAATTTTGTCACAGTCCCTATGATCACTGTTACATTGCATTTATGGCTTTTATTTTGGTGATTTCGAAAAGTTTTTTTTGGTTTTGGCCATGTTTTGTTTATTGTATACGAAGTTAGACTGATGTCCTTAATCTTAGTTGTCTTGTGGTTGTTGTTGTTATTTTGATTTGCATCCCACTGGGATTTTTTGCACACAGCGTTGGTGTACGGTGCTATTTCAGGAATATTTTGATGTTTTTTTTCCCGGATTTTCTGTTTGCACAGTCACACATAGTCACTTTAAGATGGTTTTTCTTGTTCATGTTTTTTTGTTTGTTGCGGTTACACCCGATTCAAGAGCCAAATGCCTCACAGGGCTATACCAAATAAATGAACTAAACTATGAACTATGAGTCAGTTGTGAGTGCGAAGGGACTGGTGGCTACATGAGGTAATGACAGGGGAGTCAGTTGTGAGTGCGAAGGGACTGGTGGCTACGGGAGGTAATGACAGGGGAGTCAGTTGTGAGCACGAAGGGACTGGTGGCCATGGGAGGTAATGACAGGGGAGTCAGTTGTGAGTGTGAAGGGACTGGTGGCCAAGGGAGGTAATGACAGGGGAGTCAGTTGTGAGTGCGAAGGGACTGGTGGCTACGGGAGGTAATGACAGGGGAGTCAGTTGTGAGTGCGAAGGGACTGGTGGCTACGGGAGGTAATGACAGGGGAGTCAGTTGTGAGCGTGAAGGGACTGGTGGCCACGGGAGGTAATGACAGGGGAGTCAGTTGTGAGTGCCAAGGGACTGGTGGCTACGGGAATGATCGAGAAGGAAGCGTGGTCAGGTGACGGAAGAGGATGGCAGTCTGCCGGTGGAGCGAGCGTCCAGTCAGCGAGAAGGTTCGGGAAGAAGGGCGAGGCCTCGTGTTGGTATATAAAGGGGGTGATGCGTGGGAGACTCGAGGCTGTTGCAGTGGGGGTCTCCGTCTGATGTCAAGTGAACATGTCTTCAATAAAGTGCCATCTCAAGAGAAGTGTGTCGTCATTACAACTGGCGTTGACAAATACCTGCTGCAGAAAGCTCTTGTCATCTGCGGACTCGCTGTCCTCCTCGTTCAACAGAATTATCTCACTGCGCACACACACAGAACACAAAAGACGAGAGTGGGTTTGAGAGTGTGTGTTGGAGGCATATGATAACGGTGTATGTTGTGCGAGGGTTGGGAGTGTGGTGAATGTGGTGTGGTGAGTGTGGTGTGGTCAGTGTGGTGAGTGTTGTGATCAGTGCAGTGTGGCGAGTGTGGTGAGGCGAATGTGATGTACTGTGTGTGGTGTGGTTAGCATGGTGTTGTGTGTGTGTGTGATGTGCTGCTGTATGTGTTTGGTTAGTGTGTGTGGCGAGTGTGGTGTGTGCGGTGAGCGAAGTGAGGCGAGGTGAGTGAGGCGAGTGAGGTGAGTTCCATGTCTCACTCATGTTGAGGTTTCTCTTCGTCACTTGATGTTTCCTGTATGTGTTCCACTGCATCCAGAGCTGTATACACACACACACACACGCACACACGTACACAAGACTTATGAAGACCGGCATGGCACATGAGGGGGTGAGCATTCGGCACCACGCCCGGCTGTCCTCGTCTCCCTAGTGGTGATGTTTACACACCACACCTGGTCATCATTTAAGGCTGAGTGGACCGAAGGGAGATCCACGACCGATTCAGATATTTGTGACGGTGAGCGGCGAGCGGCGGTGAGCGACGGTGAGCGGCGGTGAGCAGCGGTGAGCGGCGGTGAGCGGCGGTGAGCGGCGGTGAGCGACGTACCTTTTAAGAGCTTAGACCTCCGCTCCGACATGGTCGAGGGAGCGCCGATCCCACTCAGCTACCGTCCCGCTGGGTCTGCTCACCGCCCCGTGCCTCTCCTCCTGCGGTGGAACACAACGCTCAATCAACCACGAGCTCACCCACTCATTCACTCGTTAACTCACTCATTCACTCGCTCGCGAAGTGACTCGCACACTCAACTCATTGACCCATTAATACATTTAGCGTGGTCCTTTTGAACCGAGCCAGGCGGCAGCTCCATAACCTGCAGAATTGCAGTCGGCTCGGAGCGCCGCCGGTGCCAAGCTTCGTTAGCGCACGCAGTCTTCACCTATGTCACCGTTTGCCTTGCGCCACGGCTACAGTTCGAGTTGCAGCGTAATGGGCCCCTACCCATCTTAGGCCTTGGTACACGCGCAGGAGGCAGCCTTGGCGAGTTCGGACCCTGCTTGAGGAGGGTCCGGGGTCACAGCGCTGAAGATCAAACGCAAGCCGGGCGGTCCGTTGTACGTTGGGAGTGTGCGTGTCTCGCTCCCCGTGGTTGCGCGGATTTTTTTTTCTGGGTCCCACGGTTTTTCCCTCCACATTTAGAAACATGCGTTTCAGAGTATTTGGCTGCTCTACATTTCCACATAAGCCACTTCGTTGAGCTATCATTCATGGCCAGGTCGCTTCTGAACAAGAGCTACATGGCTCAGGGGACCTTACCTGTAACAATAAAAATAGTTTATAGTTTTTTTTTAGTTTATAGCCAGCAAGATTCCTTCAGTTACGCACTCGCTTATGCACACACTCATTCACTTATTCATTCACACACCCGTTCACTACCGAAAGGATTAACTCAATCGCTTGTCCATGTACTCCTGAACCACAGCGCCACCGCTCTCCAAACACAAACACAACTACTTGTCGTAACCATACACGCACACAGTCGAATCCACGTCACTTGCCACCACGCGCTGCGCAATGCAAGTCTGTCTCGCTGGGAATCTATTATATAACACTTATCAGATCACATATTGCCACTCGGAATGGAGTGCTACAGAAGGACACTGCATCCAAGTTGCACCCAAAGATTGAGCAACATAGATGACAAACCTGATGATGCAGGCAGTGATGAGAATGAAACTGGCACTATTTGGACACACACGTAGGATGGACAACAACAGGGAAATGAACAGCGTTGTTGTTCGGAAAAATTCAAGGAAGACCTCACGGAGAATGGCTTCACGGCATCACAAGAGATTGGTGCCAGTAGGATGGTGGCGCACTACTTGAGCAAGTTGGCACAAGACAAGAGCAAAGTGGAAACAAATGCTGAAGTGTACAGCGGACACCTACGGGCTATCTGCCCATGGATCGTGATGATGATGATGATATTACTCCAGCAATAACGCTGCTCTTTGGACCCAAAAATCTAAACTTTTTCATTGTCCCGACAGCAAAAACGTGCGCACTCTCGCTCAGACACACTGCCGCTTCAACATGGAACGATCTCCCATGCCACAGTGGCGTGCGTGCGTATTGGCAGAATCGACCCCACGTGGTGCGACGCGGATAACACAACGGTAAGCAGCTTCTAACGCAGTTCAGGAGGTGGCGGTGACCCCACACAGCTTATCTGTTAACTGCGCTCCCATACAAGGAAGTAAATAAACACAACCCATCCGCCGTTCTTATTTTCTCAGCAACCTCGGCCGCCACAGGAGACCAAAGGCCCCAAAAACATCAAGAGACCAGCAACAAACAGCACGATCAAAGATACATTCAGAATTTGTCTTTTGGGTCAGGCCAATTATATTTATCTTATATAGGTTTACAAGGCGCCTTAAACCCAAGGCGCTTTACAACAATCGTAACATTGTACGTAAGATGACAGTGGTTGAAATAAAGAGTGGGATTGTTATTAAAGAAAAAGTGGCGGTGTAGTGGTGGTGTAGTGGTGGTGACAGTTAGAAGAACAGGTGGGAGTGGTTAAGGATGGGTTGGGGTAGTGATAGGCGTTGGGGTAGTGATAGGCGTTGGGGTAGTGATAGAGGTTGGGGTAGTGATAGGGGTTGGGGTAGTGATAGAGGTTGGGGTAGTGATAGGGGTTGGAGTAGTGATAGGGGTTGGGGTAGTGATAGGGGTTGGGGTAGTGATAGGGGTTGGGGTAGTGATAGGGGTTGGGGTAGTGATAGGGGTTGGGGTAGTGATAGGGGTTGGGGTAGTGATAGGGGTTGGGGTAGTGATAGGGGTTGGGGTAGTGATAGGGGTTGGGGTAGTGATAGGGGTTGGGGTAGTGATAGGGGTTGGGGTAGTGATAGGGGTTGGGGTAGTGATAGGGGTTGGGGTAGTGATAGGGGTTGGGGTAGTGATAGGGGTTGGGGTAGTGATAGGGGGTGGGGTAGTGATAGAGGTAGTGAATAGGGGTTGATGTAGTGATAGGGGTAGTAATATTGGTTGGGGTAGTGATAACAGTAGTGATAGGGGTAGTAATAGGAATAGTGATAGGGGCTGGGCTAGTGATATAGGTAGTGATAGGGGTAGTGATATGGGATGAGGTGTGATAGAGATAGTGATAGGGGTTGGGGTAGTGATAGGGGTAATGATAGGGGTAGTGATAGGGGTAGTGATAGGGGTAGTGATAGGGGTAGTGATAGGGGTAGTGATAGGGGTAGTGATAGGGGTAGTGATAGGGGTAGTGATTAGGGTTGTGGTAGTGATATGGGATGGGATAGTGATAGGAGTAGTGATAGGGAATCGGGTAGGCCTGGTCATAGCTGGGGAGCGGGGGCAGGGAGCAGCAGCATGATGGGCTAGGGGTGAAGAGATGGGAGGTTGTTTTAAGGGAGGAAGGGAAGGAGGTTAAAGCGAAGATTATTGTTTTCTGAGCAGTGGGAGTGTGTTCCGGTGTAGGGCGAGTAACAGTCCTACACCAAAATTGTTGTCAACTCAACTCTCCACAACCTTGTCACGAAGACATAATTCACGCGTGCCAATGTACTGATCATATTCTGACCGATAAAGCGCCTCTTTAATCACCAGTGGGGGCCTGAGACTTTTCGTGGCTAAATTTGACATCGCCCTGCGCGACATTTCACTCAAACTGCTCCTCTATTAAGTCCACCCTTCTGCATGCATCAGGCAGATGGATAGATGTAACATTAGGTAGCCGTGAACGTGTCTCCTGAGTTGAGCAAGGTTTATCACAGCTTGGGGAAGAGAGCGGCCCGGAGGGAGTTCCCGAGTCAAAGCAGTGCGAGGCTGAAAGCGGGAGAGAAGTGTGTGCGTCTTTTGCTCTGATCTGCAGGTCAGGTGTGGTGGCTGGGTGGGTGAGTTTATGAGTTGTCATCGGTGGGGGGGGGGGGTGTGATAAGAGTGTGTTCTGCTCGCTAACAGCATGTGCCTCAAAACTCTATTAGAGCTTTCGGTAAAGTCACGTAGGTATAAAATAAGTAATATTTTATACCTAGGTGACTTTACCGAAAGAACCAAAGAGTATAGATTCCTGCAGTGACGAAAGCTTCAAATCTAGAATCTATTAGAGCTGTATGGGGGATATTTGTCTTGTGGTGGTTTAGTGATGGGCGCCGCGGTGGTGAGACGTTAACTGCCTGGTATGCAGGAGGTCGTGGGTTCGATCCCGACCCTAAGGCCTGTATATTTTGAGTTTCCATGTTCTTCCCGCAGTGGAGTTAATTTTTCTCCGGGTCTTCCGGTTATTTTTTTCCTGGTCCACATTCAGCATCATGCGTCGCGAGCGTTCTGGCCCCCGCTATAAATTTCCACATGATTAACCACTTCGTTGAGCTATTATTTCTGGCCAGGTCGCATCTGAAAAAGAGCTACATTGCTCAAGTGGGCCTTACCTGGTAAAATACAAATGCTGAGTTTAGAGTGGGTGTGTAAGTAGTGGGGGGGGTGGATGAGTGTGTGCGTTTGGGTGCAATGGGGACCGGTGGTGTAGCGGTTAGCGTGCTGCTTTCGAATCTGGCGACCCCAGTTCCAATTTGTTCTCACGGTTAACACCAGTGACGATTATCTAAATGGGTCCTGGGCCTCCCCTAGGTTGACTCAGCCTCAAATTAGTACCTAGTGCAGTGTGTAAACATTTCTAGATTTAAAGCTTTCGTGACTGCAAGGATCCACTCTTTGGTTCTATTCGGCAAAGTCACGTAGGTAAAAAATAAAACAACAAAAATCACGACGTTTCGGCCACAGCACAAGCGGCCTTCATCAGGTGAAGGGATCAGGCTGTCTCGAGGACAGCGCTGGAGTGAAACACAGCCACGCTCAGACCGCGACCTTTAAGCTGATTTTTTTGTTTTATTTTTTACCTACGTGACTTTACCGAATAGAACCAAAGAGTATGTGTAAACATTGCCAGTGGGGAGACAAAGGCGGTCTGGCGTGCTGCTGGCCACCCACACCCTCGTGTGCTGCTGTACCGGCCTTCATAGATGTTTGCTAACAGAATTTTCCCCAACAGCCTGTTCAGCCTATAGGGGGGATCTTTGTCTTTTTGCTTAAGTGGGCGGGTTGTTGTGAGATGCAGTGTTGGTGGTGGCGGTTGTACACATTGTGAATGAGATTAAACATTTATGTCTGATACAGCGAGTCCTCAACGTGAGTGAAGGGAATTCGAGTGAGGTTGAATGGATGGCGGCAAGGCGGTATTTGTAAATGAACGTCAGAGGGACCCTATACACATATGCACCGTGTTCGTTTGAGTCTGTCGATTCAGAAGCTGTTTGCTGCCATTATCCTCTTGAATCTTGTGCGTTGCACGACAATCCGTGCAGTTACAATGTATTTATACGTCATCCAGGTCTTACTTGAAAAATATCCTTCTGGATTCAAGCAGGCCTTTTAATAATTAAAACGTAACTATGATTGACAGCCAGATTTGAAGCTTTCGTGACTGCAAGGATTCATACTCGTTGGTTTTTTCGGTAAAGTCACGTAGGTAAAAAATAAACCCTTTGACAATCCACAGCCGGATGAAGGCCGTATTGGTGGTCATGGGATGTATTAGATTATACTTCACCACCCTGGTCAGTGTTTGGTGTGACCAGGAAGATCACTTCAGATATCAATCGCGCCTGATGGTGGTGATGGTGGTGGTGTAGCGGTGACCGGGAATTATCAACTCTGGTCGCTCGCTGTCTTCACGGTGAGGTGCGCCAACGAAAGCGGCCCACAGCTCTCCCCCAGCCAGGTTCTTAGCCTGTCTCGAAGACAACTAGAACCAACATTGAATGTCTCTGTTTACCAACATATCAAGAGGCTCAGCAGGCTCGACACACAGGAGACACGAGACACTGGTGACAAGGCGGACAACGAAGGAACAGGAGACACAGAGGACAGGAGATACGGTGGACGGGGGGGGGGTTAGAGGCGTGGGAGACACGGGGGGACAGGAGACACGGGGGGACAGGAGACACGGGGGGACAGGAGACACGGGGGGACAGGAGACACGGGGGACAGGAGACACGGGGGGACAGGAGACACGGGGGGACAGGAGACACGGGGGGACAGGAGACACGGGGGGACAGGAGACACGGGGGGACAGGAGACACGGGGGACAGGAGACACGGGGGAACAGGAGACACGGGGGGACAGGAGACACGGGGGGACAGGAGACACGGGGGGACAGGAGACACGGGGGGATAGGAGACACGGGGGACGGGAGACACGGGGGCCGGGAGACACGGGGGACGGGAGACACGGGAGACACGGGGTACAGGAGAAACGGGAGACACGGGGGACGGGAGACACGGGGGACGGGAGACACGGGGGCCGGGAGACACGGGGTACAAGAGACACAGGGTACAAGAGACACGGGGTACAGGAGAAACGGGAGACACAGGGTACAAGAGACACGGGGTACATGAGACACGGGAGACACAGGGTACAAGAGACACGAGAGACACGGGGTACAGGAGACACGGGAGACACGGGGTACAGGAGACACGGGAGACACAGGGTACAGGGGACACGGAGTACAGGAGACACGGGAGACACAGGGTACAAGAGACACGGGAGACACAGGGTACAGGAGACACGGGGTACAGGAGACACGGGAGACACGGGGTACAGGAGACACGGGAGACACGGGGTACAGGAGACACTGGAGACACGGGGTACAAGAGACACGGGAGACACAGGGTACAAGAGACACGGGGTACAGGAGACACGGGAGACACGGGGTACAGGAGACACGGGAGACACGGGGTACAGGAGACACGGGAGACACAGGGTACAAGAGACACGGGAGACACGGGGTACAAGAGACACGGGAGAAACAGGGTACAAGAGACACTGGGGACACGGGGTAGACACGGGAGACACGGGGTACATGAGACACTGGGGACACGGGGTACAGGAGACACGGAGACACGGGGTACAGGAGACACGGGAGACACGGGGTACAAGAGACACGGGAGACACAGGGTACAAGAGACACGGGAGACACAGGGTACAAGAGACACTGGGGACACGGGGGACAGGAGACACGGGGTACAAGAAACACAGGAGACACGGGGTACATGAGACACGGGAGACACGGGGTACAAGAGACACGGGAGACACAGGGTACAAGAGACACGGGAGACACAGGGTACAAGAGACACGGGGTACAGGAGACACGGGAGACACGGGGTACAAGAGACCCAATAACTCAGAATTCAAGTTTCGCAGCAATGGAAGCTGCGGCCTGATCTGCCTCGGGCCCCCCATCTCTTGCCTGAGCCACGGCGGGGTCCGGGTGTCTCTCAGCCGGTGAAGTTTGGCGGGGGAACGGGCCGGTCGCTTTGTCGAGGTCCAGGTTCCAGGCACCGCACTTTGTTGGGAACGCAGCAGCAGCAGTCGCTGCAATGGGAGCAGCAGAGACCGAAGGGGAAGGGAAAGGGGAGGGGGTGTGCGAGGTCCGGCGAGCGAAACAGAGCCTAGTCGAGTGGTCCGTATGAAGGGTGACGTGACGTGAAGAGCGTGACGAAGGCCAACACACCGACGTCATCAGAGCTTACGCGTGATGAACCTCTTGACCGACGTCACTTCGGAATTACAAAGATTGCGTCACCGCGGGCAAAGTGAGCAACATCCGAGACGACGGCCATCTTTTTTTATTTAAAGCTTTCGTGACTGCAGGGATTCGTATTCTTGGTTCTGTCGGTAAAGTCACCACCACGTAGAAGGGAAAAAATAAAATAATAAAATATGTATGAACAATTAAATTCTCTCTTGTTGTGGTGTGAAAACCACAACAAGAGAAAATTTGAAAAAAAGTGCCGTTTTTTTAACGTTAGCACCACGGAGAGCGATTTGACAGTTTGTTCAGATGGACGAGTCCATCTATGTTCGGAAAAGAGGAGGGGGGGAGACGAAAAATAATAGATGCGGTGTGAAAGCCACCTTAAGCGTGATCAATCATATTCTTCGTTCTTTCGGTAAAGTCAACGTGACTTTACCGAAAGAACCAAGAATATGAATCACTGCAGTCACGGAAGCTTTAAATCAAAACGTTATCAATCAAGACCCGAAATGGTTTATCAAATCCTTCCAATGATTGCTAAGCCAGAATCCATCTTCTCGGTTGAAATTGTCTCTGTGCTTGTATATGTGGATAGCCTCATGAACGAATCTCTCATGGTAGCCAGATGGCTTGCAAAGAACCTCTGTCTTGGAGAAGTCAATGTCATGTGAGCCTAGTGAATTATAACAATGATCTGCCACGGCCGAGGTGTTGGTCCTACCGTGTTTAAGGTCTGCTTTGTGTTCACGAATGCGGTCCGATACATGTCGTTTGGTTTCTCCAATGTAACTACTACCACAGAGGCAACTTAGTTTGTAGACACCAGGGTACTGTATGTCCGGAATCACATCTTTTACAGACGGAACCAGATCACGGATTTTATGTAATGTGCTGAATCGGACTTGGATCTTGTGTTTACTCAAGATTTTGGACATCTTTTTTGTGATCCCCGCAATGTAGGGTAAATAGAATATAACAACAAAATTCAAGAATTACTCAACGATGGCAGCTATACAAAAATAAAAAGAGATCCCGCCAACAGCCTCGTCATAAAAACCAACAAAATCATTTCTGATTCAACCGCAATAATTTATCAAACCAAACAGTTCTTGTTGAAACCTTCTGCTGCTAGGCCACCAAGCTTACCAAAAATACATAAAATAGATGCACCCCGATTAAAGCTTTCGTGACTGCAAGGATTCAATTTCTTGGTTCTTTCGGTAAAGTCACGTAGAATGCGAATAAAATAATAAAATGAGACAATAAAATTCTCACGACGTTTTGGCCACAACACAAGTGGCCTTCTTCAGGTGAAGAGACAGGTCTGTCCGGAAGACAGAGCTTAAATGAACGCTGTCATGCAAGGACCGCGTCTATTAAGCTGTGTGGGCGGAGTTAAAATATGAATGTGCATGTTACCTGCATCACCTCCGGAGAGAAGGAGGGAGGGGGCTGGGAACACAGACAGAGAGGATCACATTGCCAGTGAACTCAAGCACGTACACCAAGCCCTCAAGGCTAATGGTTACTCCGACTACACAATCCGCAAAGCCATCACTCCAGTCATGAAGAAGGATCCTCTTGAGGAGCCATTCAAAACCATCACCTTACCCTACATTGCGGGGGTCACAAAAAAGATCTCCAAAATCCTGAATAAACACAAGATCCAGGTCCGATTCAACACGGTACATAAAATCCGTGATCTGGTTCCATCTGTAAAGGATGCGGTTCCAGACATACAGTACCCGGGCGTTTACAAAATAAAGTGCCTCTGTGGTAGCAGCTACATTGGAGAAACCAAACGACATATCTCGGACCGCATCCGCGAACATAAAGCAGACTTGAAACACGGTAGGACGAACTCCTCAGCCGTGGCAGATCACTGTTATAATTCAGTGGGCTCACATGACATTGACTTCTCCAAGACGGAGGTTCTTTGCAAGCCAACCGGCTACCATGAGAGATTCGTTCATGAGGCCATCCACATATACAAGCACAGAGACAATTTCAACCGAGAAGATGGATTCTGGCTTAGTAACCATTGGAAAGATGTTTTAAACCATTTCGGTTCTTGATTAATTGTATTTTACGGTGACTTTCAGACTGCAGCCCTTTCGCTGGCACTGCCTCTTAATGCTTCTCACACCACGGTCAATGGTATGGTTTATAACATGTAGTATAATAATTAATAGTATAACATTGTAATGTTTAACATAACTCATAAGGCAATTTATAGCATCGTAAATTGCATAATGAATATACATCAGTGTGGTATATAGTTGGGTTCATAGAATAAGACAGTGTAATATCACAAGTCTAATAGTTTATAATCTAAAGTATAGGGTAGTGTAAAGTAACGCATTGTATAATTCAAAGGTGGAATTTGTCTATGATATGATGTTATACCATGTAGTTTAGGTTGGAAGGTATAATATTGTATTACATAGTAGTACAGTTTACAGCATAGTCATAAGGCAACTCAGGACACAACAGCGCACCTTGGCTGTTGCACTTGCCCCTTTTATTTTTCCTCTCTGTCTGTGTTCCCAGCCCCCTCCCTCCTCCTCTCCGGAGGTGATGCAGGTAACATGCACATTCATATTTTAAATCTGTCCACACAGCTTAATAGACGCGGTCCTTGCATGACAGCGTTCATTCAAGCTCTGTCTTCCGGACAGACCTGTCTCTTCACCTGAAGAAGGCCACTTGTGTTGTGGCCGAAACGTCGTGAGAATTTTATTGTCTTATTTTATTATTTTATTCCCATTCTACGTGGCTTTACCGAAAGAACCAAGAAGATAGATACACCCCTTTGTCCCATCGTCTCTACTATCAACTCCCCCACCTACAAACTGGCTCGTTTTCTGTCTGAAATCCTGCGGCCTTTCACTGGAAAAACCACCTCTGCGGTACAAAATTCTACTCACCTGGTATCGTCAATCAAGGGTATTTCCCTGCCCCCAGACGACCTGCTTGTCAGTTTTGATGTAGTTTCCTTATTCACCAAAGTTCCTGTACCTGACACCATCGCAATCATTGAAGACTTGGTTCATCAAGGACTAAACACTGAGGTACCCCACCTGGTAAGGCACTGCTTAACCAATACATACTTCACTTGAAATGGAACTTTCTACAAACTGAGGGCACCCCAATGGGCTCCCCCTATCTCCGGTTGTAGCCAACATTTTCATGGAGAAATTTGAGACTGACGCCATCCAGACTGCCACTCTGCGCACAACCTTATGGAAGAGGTACGTGGATGACACTTTTGTCATCTGGCCACATGGCCGGCCTGCTCTAGACCAATTCTTCGACCACATCAATTCCATACACCCAGCCATCAGATTTACCATGGAAGTCGAAAAAGATGGCAAGCTACCTGTTTTGGATGTCCTAATAAAAAAGAGATCTGATGGTTCAATGAGCCGCTCTGTCTACAGGAAAGCTACCCATACGGATGCTAACCTGAAACCGGATTCCCACCACCATCCATCCCAGAAGAATTCCCTCATCAAAACTCTGCACCATAGAGCCCAATGCATATCCGACCAGGAACATATAGCCAGTGAACTCAAGCACGTACACCAAGCTCTTAAGGCTAATGGTTGTTCCGACTACACAATCCGCAAAGCTATCACTCCAACCATAAAGAAGGACCCTCTTGAGGAGCCTTTCAAAACCATCACTTTACCCTACATTGCGGGGATCACAAAAAAGATCTCCAAAATCTTGAATAAACACAAGATCAAGGTCCGATTCAACACATTACATAAAATCTGAGATCTGGTTCCATCTGTAAAAGATGTGATTCCGGATATACAGTACCCTGGCATCTACAAACTAAGTTGCCTCTGTGGTAGTAGTTACATTGGAGAAACCAAACGACATGTCTCGGACCACATTCATGAACACAAAGCAGACCTGAAACACGGTAGGACAAATACCTCGGCCGTGGCAGATCATTGTTATAATTCAGTAGGCTCACATGACATTGACTTCTCCAAGACAGAGGTTCTTTGCAAGCCATCTAGCTACCATGAGAGATTTGTTCATGAGGCTATCCACATATACAAACACAGAGACAATTTCAACCTAGAAGATAGATTCTGGCTTAGCAATCATTGGAAGGATTTGATAAACCATTTTGGGTCTTAATTGATTCTTCACGCTTAAGGTGGCTTTCAGACCGCATCCATTATTTTTCGTCTCCCCCCTCCTCTTTTCCGAACATAGATGGACTCGTCCATCTGAACAAACTGTCAAATCAGTCTCCGTGGTGCTAACGTTAAAAATAACCGCCACTTTTTTTCAAATTTTCTTGTTGTGGTTTTCACACCTGATGATGATTGCTTGTGTTGCAGTCGAAACGTCGTGAGAATTTTATTGTTTTATATTTTTATTATTTTGTTTCCCTTCTACGTGACTTTACCGAAAGAACCAAGAATATGACGGCTATCTTACTTGGGGAAGAGATCAAAACGGCGGGCATGTCACTCAGGGGAGAGTAAGATGGTAGCCATCTTACTTAGGGGATAGACTGGCCATCTTACTTAGGGGAGAGTGAAACGGTGGCCATCTTACTTAGGGGGAGAGTGAAACGGTGGCCATCTTACTTCGGGAAGAGAATGACACGGTGGCCATCTTACTCAGGGGAAAGTAAGATGGTGGCCATCTTACTTAGGGCGAGTGAGACAGCAGCCAGCTTACTTAGGGCGCGTGAGACAGCAGCCAGTTTACTTAGGGTAGAGTGAAACGGTGGCCATCTTACTTTGGGAAAAGAACGAGACGGTGGCCATCTTACTCAGGGGACTGAGATGGTGCTCATCTTACTTCGGGAGAGTGAGGCAGTGGCCATCTTACTTAGGGCAGAGCGAGGCTATGGCCATCTTTCCTTAGGGGAGACTGAAACGGTGTTCATCTTACTTAGGGAGAATGAGATGGTGTCATCTTAGGGGAGAGCGCAACGGTGGCCATCTTACTTAGGGTACAGAACTAGATAGTGGCCATCTTCCTTAGGGAAGAGACCGAGACGGCAGCCATCTTCCTTTGGGAGACGTTCAATCGTGTAACGAAAATACAGCAGAGATGGGAGGAGGGGTTGTTAACCCAAATTTTAAAGGGAAAAAAAGCGACGTCGCTATAATAGAAGACGAAATTATGGAGATATCACAAAACTACTTCTGACTTCCAATAAGTAATGGTTGACTTAAAGCTTTCGTGGCTGCAGGAATTCATATTCTTTGGGTCTTTCGGTAAAGTCACGTAGATAGGTTCAAAGAAAATAACAAAATATAAGAAAAAATTACTACGTTTCGATCTCAACACAACCGTTCCTGATGACAAACGCTTGTGTTGCGATCGAAACGTCGTAGTTTTTATTATTATTTTATTTTCTTTGAACCTATCTACGTGACTTTACCGAAAGACCCAAAGATTAAGTCATGGTTGTCGTGTTTTTGTTTGTTATACGATCCCCTTAAAACATTCGTGTTTATCTGTAAGCCTCAATTCCTGCCAATGCCAATTGTGTTGAAAGGGAGAGGTTTGTTTTGGATTGGAGGCCATTCAGAGTGAACCACAGACGAACGCCAAGGAAATGAATCAAACGTCTTCAGTCAAAAGTTTAATCGCTCCAGCGAACGTAAATGCATTCTCTACCTTGCAATTGCAAGCATCGTTCTTGCACAAATAATAAACCATTCACGTACACAACGTGGTACGCGTAGCAGAGCTGTAGCAAGGATGCCGCCAGTTCTTATCAACTATCAAGCGCACGTTACACGGGACTGGAATCGCGTGCGTAAGAATCAAACGTTTTCCATTGGTACACGTCGTCAAAGGGTTTACGTGACCCCTGCAGCGACCAGAGGCCGCTGCATTCATAACGCGAATCGGGATATATAATGCGATGATTGTAGCAGGGAACACATCGTTTATAACGTGGATGCGAAGTGAACAGAACTAAGTCGCACGAGTAAGCAGCGTAGCACCGCACAAGGCGGGATGCTGCTGGATACTTCTAGATGCTACCCACGCGCCCTCAGGTACCACATGTTCTCGCGGACCCGTGCCTTTACCCTACAATGTATATTATTCATCACGACGCGATGCTTTCCAATCACGCGCCGTTCCTTTCAGGAACGCAAAACGCTGTCGCGTTGTCGGACGACAGACCGTCACTCGCGACTACTGAGCCCTCAGCCGCAGGAGCCTCTTCACGGAATCCTTGTAGGCCGCGATCCTGTCCTCCGTGTCGCCCAGGTTCTTGAGCTCCGTCACCGTCTTCCTGTAGCTCTCCACGTCGTTCGGCATTGGGAGCCGTGGGTCGCTCGGCGCCTCCTCCTCCTCCTCCGCTTTGCCACGCGACTGCCGAATTCGCGACAGCAGTTCGGCCAGGTTGCGCTCGGAAGGGCTCTTCTCCCACACGTACTCCTCCTGATCGGCGTCCGTCTTCTCGGCCTCCCACGGCTCCACTTTCTGAAGGTCAGAATAAACAGGCACGTGCGTATGTACGCACGTATGCAGGTGTTGAACTCTACGCAGCCAACCGTGCTAATTGGTGGCGCAGGGGGAAGGACAACCGAGTGAACACAAAAAAACAGTTCTAAAGAAAAGTTTTCAATCTCGATTTAGAAGTGCATGGCTCCAGTGGCTTGATGATGTGGTGATGGTGATGATAAGGTGGTGATGGTATATTATGAATGTTGAACGCCTTTCGCACCGTACATAACCAACTGTGCCCATGTGCATTGTGGGGGGAACAACAAAACTAAATACAAAAAGCAGTTCGAAAGAAGCGAGTTTTCAATTAACATTTAAAAGAAAGAGCACAGCTCCCAGTGATTCTGATACAGCCGCCCCTTGTTTACATCGAAGTGGCGTTTCGGGAGCGCTTGGCACGTGGAGAAGCAACTCACATCACCATCTCAACGCGTTTAAAAGGGCAACCCCAGAGTGGCAGCCGTCCCTGTGCGGCACACGGTGACTCGGAAATTTGGCCTGCAATCAGTACATTACTCTGCCAGTAGGAGGCGATGATTGCTGCTATGTTGTCATGTCTAGGGCACCCCCACTGGCAGCTGTCCCTGTGCGGGACACGGTGATTCGGCACGTATCCTGTAAAATCGGTAAAAGATGTCCGTAGGGGGAGATGATCGCTACGCGCAAAGCCGGCTGAGTAAATTGAAGACCGCGCGGGCATTCAAAGCTAAAACATGAGCACTATTATCATCACTGCGTGCGCATGATTTTGGAGCCAATGCTATGATTCGCAATTGATTTGATTGGTTTGGCCAGCGGGTAATAATCCAACGTAGAAGCCCTGTCGCCTGGATACTTACACAAGATTCATAGTAGAGGATGGTCAAAAGATACATTGCGTAGTCGTGGTTCTGTTTCCGAACCGGACACCTAAAAAACAATAACAGGGGGTAAGGACGTGATTACGCGCGCTTCCAAGTCCAAATTATTAAGTACAGTGAGGGAAAAAAGTATTTGATCCCCTGCTGATTTTGTACGTTTGCCCACTGACAAAGAAACGATCAGTCTATAATTTTAATGGTAGGTTTATTTGAACAGCGAGAGACAGAATAACAAGAAAATCCAGAAAAACGCATGTCAAAAATGTTATAAATTGATTTGCATTTTAATGAGGGAAATAAGTATTTGACCCCCTCTCAATCAGAAAGATTTTTGGCTCCCAAGTGTCTTTAATACAGGTAACGAGCTGAGTTTAGGAGCACACTCTTAAAGGGAGTGCTCCTAATCTCAGCTTGTTACCTGTATAAAAGATACCTGTCCACAGAAGCAATCAATCAGATTCCAAACTCTCCACCATGGCCAAGACCAAAGAGCTCTCCAAGGATGTCAGGGACAATATTGTAGACCTACACAAGACTGGAATGGGCTACAAGACCATTGCCAAGCAGCTTGGTGAGGTGACAACAGTTGGTGCGATTATTCGCAAATGAAAGAAACACAAAAGAACTGTCAATCTCCCTCGGCCTGGAGCTCCATGCAAGATCTCACCTCGTGGAGTTGCAATGATCACGAGAACGGTGAGGAATCAGCCCAGAACTACACGGGAGGATCTTGTCAATGATCTCAAGGCAGCTGGGACCATAGTCACCAAGAAAATAATTGGTAACACACTACGCCGTGAAGGACTGAAATCCTGCAGCGCCCGCAAGGTCCCCCTGCTCAAGAAAGCACATACACATGCCCGTCTGAAGTTTGCCAATGAACATCTGAATGATTCAGAGGACAACTGGGTGAAAGTGTTGTGGTCAGATGAGACCAAAATGGAGCTCTTTGGCATCAACTCAACTCGCCGTGTTTGGAGGAGGAGGAATGCTGCCTATGACCCCAAGAAACATTATGCTTTGAGGGTGTTTTTCTGCTAAGGGGACAGGACAACTTCACCGCATCAAATGGACGGGGCCATGTACCGTCAAATCTTGGGTGAGAACCTCCTTCCCTCAGCCAGGGCATTGAAAATGGGTCGTGGATGGGTATTCCAGCATGACAATGACCGAAAACACACGGCCAAGGCAACAAAGGAGTGGCTTAAGAAGAAGCACATTAAGGTCCTAGAGTGGCCTAGCCAGTCTCCAGACCTTAATCCCATAGAAATTCTGTGGAGAGAGCTGAAGGTTCGAGTTGCCAAACGTCAGCCTCGAAACCTTAATGACTTGGAGAAGATCTGCAAAGAGGAGTGGGACAAAATCCCTCCTGAGATGCGTGCATGACTTAGTACTTGGTGGCAAAGCCCTTGCCAACAAGGGCTTTGCCACCAAGTACTAAGTCATGTTTTGCAGAGGGGTCAAATACTTATTTCCCTCATTAAAATGCAAATCAATTCATAACATTTTTGACATGCATTTTTCTGGATTTTGTTGTTGTTATTCTGTCTCTCACTGTTCAAATAAACCTACCATGAAAATTATAGACTGATCATTTCTTTGTCAGTGGGCAAACGTACAAAATCAGCAGGGGATCAAATACCTTTTTTCCCTCACTGTAGTGCTTGCCTCCGCATGTTACAGACATCATTTTGACCGTACAGGTAAGTCAGTGTCCCACCCATCACAACCTCTTCCGAAATTACACCGACATCCTATTCCTAACCTGCAAGTTGCTTACCCAATCCTTTCGTCAAGTTTCTAGCATCCTGCTGCTGCTGCTGCCCCTGCTGCTGCTGCTGCCCCTGCTGCTGCTGCTGCCCCTGCTGCTGCTGAGCCTCCCTCACCGTGGGTTGGCGACGCAAGGACACGCGCGGTCGTGTGGATTTTTCTCCGAGTCCTCCGGTTTTTCCCTCCACATTTGGAATTTTAAAAAATCAGGTGTCTAGAGTATTTGGCTGCTGCTATAAATTTCCACATTAAGATAAGCCACTTCGTTGAACTATCGTTTGTGATAGCCAGGTCGTTTATAAACAAAGTCAATAGCTCATTGTGCTTTAGCTTACCTCTCCTTTTCTTATATACAGATAGTCCCCGACTTACGATGGTCCCCGACTAACGATGGTCCCCGACTTACGATGGTCCCCGACTTAGGACGGCCCCCGACTTACGACGGCCCCCGACTAACGATGGTCCCCCGCTTACGATATTTCGATCTGACGATGGCGACAGCGATACGACAAAAATTGTGAAATATTTAAAATTTCGCACGGCAGGCAAACGCAGCAGCGTACTGCAAGGTACGATACTGTAACTTGATCATCGCCATCCTCCTCTTCCGACAACTAAGTTAATGTAGCCATCAACAACCTGACATCATTCAAGTATGCAGACGATGGACAGAATCTTGAATATGATACGTTACCATACGTTCAATGCGTGTATGATACGTAGCTTTAGCGATTTCATGTTAGGGTTACGTTCAATGCACGTTAAAAGTTTTTTTTATAGCAGATAGGATTGTTTCCTGAAAAAAAACTTTCTACGAAATTGCAGTTCATATAGGTAGGCTAAGAATTTACCTTGTTTTTTTACTTTACATTTCACTGTGCAATACAGTATTGTAATTAATAAATACATACGGTATATATATTCTTGGTTCTTTTGGTAAAGTCACCACGTAGAAGGGAAGCAACAAAATAATAAAAAAACAATAAAATCCTCACGACGTTTCGACCGCAACACAAGCAATCGCCATCAGGTGTGAAAACCACGGCAAGAAAACTTGAAAAAAAAGTGGCGGTCATTTTTTTTTTAACGTCACAGCACCACGGAGAGCGATTTGGCAGTTTGTTCAGGTGGACGAGTCCATCTGTGTTCGAGAAAGAGGAGGAGGGCGGCGGGGGGAGACGAGAGAGCGCGCGGCGCGTCACATCACAGCGGCTGTCCGGCGCGGTGTCGTCGCCACGAACCTCTCCGTCCTGATGGCGAGAACGTCGGTCGCCTTGTCGTAACGGTCTCCCACCAGCTTGACGAGCTTCCTTCTCGCGTGGTCGTCCAACTTGAGGCTGGACAGCCGGACCTGCGAATTTAAATCGCGGAGACGACACGCAGACGCTGCAGACGTCCGAGCCAGCTGCACGCGTGCCGAGGGGAGCGTGTGCGGCACCAGGACACACCGGTGTGTTTAAAGCAATACGGCAAAACCTCGGGATCGCGAGTAACTGGGTCTGCGAGTGTTTTGCAAGACGAGCAAAATTTGTAAATAAGCATTAATTTGATGAACGAGCGAGGGTCTCAGCAATACGAGTAGTGTAACGTGTACACGCTTTGTACTGCCGAGCGTCACCTGATCACAACTGATATACGAGTGCTTTGATATACAGGGTGCTTTGGATTGCAAACACGTTTCCGGAACGAATTATGCTCGCAATCCAAGGTTTTACTGTATATTTAAAATATAAATAGAGTGGAACCCTTCGTAACGACGGTTTTTGGTTCCACGAAACCGGTCGTTAAGTGATTTGGTCGTTAAGCGAGTATAGTAAATACACGTTAATGGCTAAGTTCCTTCCGATGGCATCGAAAGTGATCCTTTTTCACCCAAAAAATGTACTTTATAATATTTGAACAATGGATATTAACACGTAAAGATACTAACAACATTATGAACACATGCTATTGTAGGTAAACATTAATTAACTAGCTTGTTTGCCCATCCTCGGAATGGAAGTTGTAATATTTACAAATAAATTGAGCACAGTATAATTGTATCGTGTGTAAATTTAATGGCAGTGAATCTGGCACGAAACAAAGTCATCAAACGCTTCACTGCATTTCACTGTAGCACTGTATGTAACTGACCTTCAATTTGTTCAAATTCACAGCTCTGATACTTTAGTATCTTCTGCTTTCGGTCGCTGGGGTTGAAATAAATTGGAATTCGATACAATATCTGGAAAAATCACTGAGAAATGTCTATTTTACTATAATGTAGAAGCTTAAATTAGACTTACCTTTCGTCTAAAGTATTGTTAGAAATAAAGACACCAAATACACTTCACTTTAAATAAACGTCAAACTTAAAGCGAATTTGCAAAACAAAAATTAACTTTCTGCTCGACCTCATTCAGCGTAAGTGTCAAAATCCACCCGCTCATGAATATTAATGACTGGGGGTGGGGCGGGGGGTGCGGCATGTGGAGTGACGTCACGCACGTTACACACAAACACAGACATTCTTGGCTCATTGTAATAATAAACGCATTCATGAATATATACCGACAACAGCCCGTCGTTAAAAGGGGAATGGTCAGTAAGTGAACACATTGGGCTCGAAAGATGCCCGTCACACTATACTATATACACTACACTACTGTATACACTACACTACTATATACACTACGCTACTATACACACTACGCTACTATACACACTACGCTACTATACACACTACACTACTATACACACTACACTACTATACACACAACACTACTATACACACTACACTACTATACACGACACAACCATACACTCTACACTACTATACACACAGCACCACTATATACACTACACCACTATACACTACACTACTATACACACAACATCACTATACACTACACCACTATACACACAACACCACTATACACACAACACTACTATACACACAACACTACTATACACTACACCACTATACACACTACACCACTATACACACAACACTACTATACACACAACACTACTATACACTACACCACTATACACACTACACCACTATACACTACACTACTATACACACAACATCACTATACACTACACTACTATCGACACTACACTACTATACACACAACACTACTATACACACAACACTACTATACACTACACCACTATACACACTACACCACTATACACACTACACCACTATACACACTACACTACTATCGACACTACACTACTATACACACTACACTACTATACAAGCAACACTACTATACACACAACACTACTATACACTACTATACACACTACACTACTATACACACAACACTACTATACACTACACCACTATACACACTACACCACTATACACACTACACCACTATACACACTACACTACTATCGACACTACACTACTATACACACTACACTACTATACAAGCAACACTACTATACACACAACACTACTATACACTACTATACACACTACACTACTATACACACTACACTACTATACAAACTACACTACTATACACACAACACTACTATACACACTACACTACTATCGACACTACACTACTATACACACTACACGACTATATACACTACACTACTATACACACTACACTACTATCGACACTACACTACTATACACACTACACCACTATACACACTACACTACTATACAAACTACACTACTATACACACTACACCACTATACACACTACACTACTATACACACTACACTACTATACACACAACACTACTATACACTACACTACTATACACACTACACTACTATACACACTACACTACTATAGACACTACACTCCTATACACACTACACTACTATACACACTACACTACTATACACACAACACTACTATACGCACTACACTACTATACACTACACTACCATACACACTACACCACTATACACACTACACTACTATACAAACTACACTACTATACACACAACACTACTATACACACTACACTACTATACACACTACACGACTATATACACTACACAACTATACACACTACACTACTATACACTACACTGCTATACACTACACTACTATACACTACACTGCTATATACTACACTACACTATACACACTACACTACTATATACACTACACTACTATACACTACACTATACACTACTCTACACTATACACACTACACTACTATATACACTACACTACTACAAACACAACACTACGATACATTACACTATACACTACACTGCTATACACTACTATGCGCTACACTACTATACACACTACACTACTATAAACACAGCACTACTATACACACTACACTACTATAAACACAGCACTACTATACACTACACTACTATACACTACACACTACACTACTATACACTACACTATACACTACTATATACACTACACTGCTATACACACTACACTACTATAAACACAACACTAGTATACACTACACTAATATACACTACACTACTATAAAGTAAGGGAAAAAAGTATTTGATCCCCTGCTGATTTTGTATGTTTGCCCACTGACAAAGAAATGATCAGTCTATAATTTTAATGGTAGGTTTATTTGAACAGTGAGAGACAGAATAACAAAAATCCAGAAAAACGCAATTTATAACATTTTTGACGCATATCAAAAAAGTTATAAATTGATTTGCATTTTAATGAGGGAAATAAGTATTTGACCCCCTCTCAATCAGAAAGATTTCTGGCTCCCAGGTGTCTTTTATACAGGTAATGAGCTGAGACTAGGAGCACACTTTTAAAGGGAGTGCTCCTAATCTCAGCTTGTTACCTGTATAAAAGACACCTGTCCACAGAAGCAATCAATCAATCAGATTCCAAACTCTCCACCATGGCCAAGACCAAAAAGCTCTCCAAGGATGTCAGGGACAAGATTGTAGACCTATACAAGGCTGGAATGGGCTACAAGACCATTGGCAAGCAGCTTGGAGATAAGGTGACAACAGTTGGTGTGATTATTCGCAAATGGAAGAAACACAAAAGAACTGTCAATTTCCCTCGGCCTGGAGCTCCATGCAAGATCTCACCTTGTGGAGTTGCAATGATCATGAGAACGGTGAGGAATCAGCCCAGAACTACACGGGAGGATCTTGTCAATGATCTCAAGGCAGCTGGGACCATAGTTACCAAGAAAACAATTGGTAACACACTACGCCGTGAAGGACTGAAATCCTGCAGCGCCCGCAAGGTCCCCCTGCTCAAGAAAGCACATATACATGCCCGTCTGAAGTTTGCCAATGAACATCTGAATGATTCAGAGGACAACTGGGTGAAAGTGTTGTGGTCAGATGAGACCAAAATGGAGCTCTTTGGCATCAACTCAACTCGCCGTGTTTGGAGGAGGAGGAATGCTGCCTATGACCCCAACAACACCATCCCCACCGTCAAACATGGAGGTGGAAACATTATGCTTTGGGGGTGTTTTTCTGCTAAGGGGACAGGACAACTTCACCGCATCAAAGGGACGATGGACGGGGCCATGTACCGTCAAATCTTGGGTGAGAACCTCCTTCCCTCAGCCAGGGCATTGAAAATGGGTCGTGGATGGGTATTCCAGCATGACAATGACCCAAAACACATGGCCAAGGCAACAAAGGAGTGGCTCAAGAAGAAGCACATTAAGGTCCTGGAGTAGCCTAGCCAGTCTCCAGACCTTAATCCCATAGAAAATCTGTGGAGGGAGCTGAAGGTTCGAGTTGCCAAACGTCAGCCTCGAAACCTTAATGATTTGGAGAAGATCTGCAAAGAGGAGTGGGACAAAATCCCTCCTGAGATGTGTGCAAACCTGGTGGCCAACTACAAGAAACTCTGACCTCTGTGATTGCCAACAAGGGTTTTGTCACCAAGTACTAAGTCATGTTTTGCAGAGGGGTCAAATACTTATTTCCCTCATTAAAATGCAAATCAATTCATAAAAATTTTGACATGCGTTTTTCTGGATGTTTTTGTTGTTATTCTGTCTCTCACTGTTCAAATAAACCTACCATTAAAATTATAGACTGATCATTTCTTTGTCAGTGGGCAAACGTACAAAATCAGCAGGGGATCAAATACTTTTTTCCCTCACTGTACACTACACTACTATACACTACACTGCTATATACTACACGACACTATACACTACACTATACACTACACATTGGGCTATATGGAGGTCCGTTGTTAAGCGATTAGTCGTTAACAAGGGTGCTCTCGTTAAGAGGGGTTTTACTCTTTTTAAATACAAATTTTTTTTATTATCATTAAAAATAAAAATTACTCCAGCAATGACTCCGCTCTTCGCTGCCAAAAACAAAAGAGTTGAGGCGCCACGCACGAGCTCTCGCTCAGGCACAGAGATCTGCTGCTGCCGTTTCAACGTGGAACGATCTCCGGGATTCGCCCTGGCGTGCCGCCAGCCTCGGCTTAAACCTTTTTCCCGGGTTCCGAGACGTCTCCAAGTCGCGGGGTCGGTGGGGGGTCCCCCGTTGACCGCTGAGCCGAGGAACGCGCGAGCGGTTCAGCGGCCATTTTATTCGTAGAGGCGTAGCGACCGCTGTAATCTAAAGACGCTGCGGTGACCGTAGCGACCGCACTCTACCGGCGCCAAACTGTGCCACGCGCGCTCCCGCACGGCCTTTTACTTCCGATCCCACTCGGGTGATGTACGCGGCACGCCGTCGAGAACAGGAGGAGAACACACGAACTCCGCACGGAAAGGTGCAAGGGAGTCAGGAAATCGAACCCTAGGCCCCTGTTGCCGCGAGGGGCGAGGTGTCACCGCCGCGGGCTCGCTTTAAAATGCACGACTTGCGGGAGCTCACGGAGAGGTTGACGATGCGGGCGTTGGCGTTGCGTAGCGAGGGCCCTGCTGACACGTAGTCCGTGCTCTGCACCTCCAGGGGGAAGTACTCCTCACACTTCTCGTCCGAGTCGAGCCCGGCCGGCCACTCCGTGCAAAACTCTGCCCCGGGGCGACAATGGGAGAGGAGGAGGAGGAGGAGGGGGGAGAAGGATGAAACAGACGGGAACGTTTTGCCAAAATTCACTCGGAACAAGTAGCGAGTTTCCACAGCACGATATCACGATAGGTCACGATGGGTTAGGCCACGTAGTAGCGGTCCGAGCCAATTCGGGCCGTCAAGACCCCCCCCACCACCCCGCCGCCATCGCCCGACACGACCAAAGGGACCGCCGCCGCGTACGAGCTGTTTTAACGCACCGCCCGTTATCGTTTCGGCTCGCCGGTAAGCCAAAGAGCGATCGATTCCCACCACCGAATACAGCGATTGTAGATCGCGGTCGATTTTTGCTGGGTCAGATCGCCCGCGGAAGGTAAACGTTTTGCCGTACACCCCTCCTCCGCCCGACACAGCCAATGAACGCTTTCCCGTTCCGAGACGTCCGCTAGTTTTACACCGTCGGCGTTCCGGTCACTGCCGAATCTCGGAACTCGCGAGCGGCTCGGCGTTAATTGTATCAATAAAGTTATTTTATTCAAGTTTTTCTTCCGGTCCCTTTCCGGTGACGTACGTGGACGGGAAAGGGTTAATAAGGGGCGTCTTGTGATGAAAAAAAACGTGGCCAATTTATTACTGCTTCAGCAGCACCATCGTAGTGTGATGGTGACGACTTAAAACACATTCTCCTGCGGAGGGAGCTGGTAGGAACGTTGGGTTGCTCGGTCAATGGCCAGGGTCAACGGCGGCACCACCACGTGGTGTATTCAGCACAATATGCCCGACTGTGAGGGCGGGCACAAGCCGGCGTGAGTAGGTTAAACGTTGAGTTTTATAAGGGCACCACGGGGTGACCAGCCCCTCCCCATCCAGCCCCACCCCTCCCACCCCCCACCCAGCCCCACCCAGCCCCTCCCCACCGTCCCCACCCAGCCCCTCCCCACCCTCCCCTCCCCACCCAGCCCCTCCCCACCGTCCCCACCCTCCCCTCCCCACCCAGCCCCTCCCCACCCTCCCCTCCCCACCCAGCCAATCCCCACCCAGCCCTCTCCACCCAGCCCCACCCCTCCCATTTTTGGATGCAGGATGGACGGACACAATATACCCCTGTGGGCTGCTGGTGTAGTAACCAGGAGGTTCCTACCAGTAAAAGCAATAATCTACCAGTGAATTGACCGATGATGACGGCTGATGATGATGACGGCTGATGATGATGACGGCTGATGATGATGACGGCTGATAATGGTGATGACTGCGGATGAGGACGTCGATTAACCCACACCTTACCTTTCAGGGCGGCACAATGTTTCTCGATGGCCGGTGGGGTAAGATGCAAAAAATTGGCGACCTGTAACACATGGGTAAGGATTTGTAGTCATTTGGCGCTTAAATGACGTGGCATACATTTAACCATGTGTACAGTTATTCAAAGATATATACATAATGCTAACTAAATGCTAACCCAAACTTGAATGGTTAATAATGTAAATAATTTGTTTCATTAGACCTCCTTTGCCAGTACCAAAATATAATAATAGGGTTTTCCCCCTTTTTTCTGGCAACAAAACTGAAACCTTTTTACAAGGAATCATGTTACTGCATTAACCACAATACTTGTGGTCAAAATGCAAACAAAAAACATACCCTGATAATATACGATGCACCGTCCTTGAAACTGATTGGTCCACACCAGAGACGGCTTTCTTTTGAACCTCGTCTCAATTGGTGCTAGACCACATGACGCCTAAAGGCGCTACACAGCTCAAAGACAATGCCACTATCAAAGTGTATGTAAGTTGAATTTCTTTTGCACCACACATAGCCAACCGGGCTAATCGGAGGTGCGGGGGGTAGGACGACAAACCAAACACACAAAAATCAGTTTGAAAGAAACGAGGTCTCAATCGGTCCCTCAATTGCTCACTTTGATGAGCTCCAGGTTCCCCCACTTGTCCGGGGGAGCCGCGTTCCGCAGCGGGTATCCCATGCGGAGAGGCAGGGGCACGGCGGCCGGTTTGAAGGAGGCGGCCGTGGCGTAGACATTGCTCCAGTCCTGGTCTGGCTTCATTCTCTCGCTCCGCAGCGTAGAATTCTGTCACGCGGAACATTGCGCAAAGGGATTAAAGACTCCCGCCACGAACATTCCAAACAGGGATGGATTCATTGACGCTGCCGTGCACCGGGCGTGTGCGGGGAAGAATGGCGGGAGCGATTCACACGCCGCACCATGAACACAAACACTCGAGTATCGTCGTCGTCATCGTCGTCGTCGTCATCATCATCGTCATCATCATCGTCATTTGTTTCGACGTCCTTACCTCGCTGCATCGATTTTTGTACTTAGTCACCACCACACTTCAGCTGGCTTCGACACATTTGCACGTGACGGCGAGCCACTTCGTTGAGCTATCATTTGTGGCGGAGTCGCTTCTGAAAAAGAAGCTGATGGCTCGGTGGGCTTTCTCTGGTAAAATAAAATAGTTCAGTTTTATTTGTGCATATTGTTTTGCCGTGGTTTGCTTACCTTTCCTATATGTCGCACGATCGTCTTTTCGTATTGTTTGTTGTTGCAATGTTCTGACCCGCCCCCTACTGGACATCTGTGAAATAAAATAGCTTTATAGCTTATCGGATTACTCCTCCAGAGTAAATAAATATTCCAATTCTGAGTGGCGAGTGATACACGTGAACTGGTGCTGGGTATCTCTTTCACTCAACACGCACCAACCAGCGTGGTCAGGTACGGTCGAACAATCACCATAATCAACGCAGTGCGGGGGGGAAGCCTTCATTAAGCAGTGTGGGTCATGGCTTATAAGAGGAGATGGCCAGCTGCTGCTCCAAAGCCGTATGCAGCTAAGACAAGCTTCGTGACGTTATTCACGTTGCATTGTGGGTCTCTAAGGCAAGCTTCATGACGTTATTCACATTGCATTGTGGGTCTCTAAGACAAGCTTCATGACGTTATTCACATTGCATTGTGGGTCTCTAAGACAAGCTTCGTGACGTTATTCACATTGCATAGTGGGTCTCTAAGGCAAGCTTCATGACGTTATTCACATTGCATTGTGGGTCTCTAAGACATGCTTCATGACGTTATTCACGTTGCATTGTGGGTCTCTAAGACATGCTTCGTGACGTTATTCACATTGCATTGTGGGTCTCAAAGACAAGCATTGTGACGTTATTCACATTGCATTGTGGGTCTCTAAGACAAGCTTCGTGACGTTATTCACATTGCATAGTCGGTCTCTAAGGCAAGCTTCATGACGTTATTCACGTTGCATTGTGGGTCTCTAAGACAAGCTTCATGACGTTATTCACATTGCATTGTGGGTCTCTAAGACAAGCTTCGTGACGTTATTCACATTGCATTGTGGGTCTCTAAGACATGCTTCGTGACGTTATTCACATTGCATTGTGGGTCTCTAAGACAAGCTTCGTGACGTTATTCACATTGCATTGTGGGTCTCTAAGACAAGCTTCGTGACGTTATTCACATTGCATTGTGGGTCTCTAAGACATGCTTCATGACGTTATTCACATTGCCTTGTGGGTCTCTAAGATATGCTTCATGACGTTATTCACATTGCATTGTGGGTCTCTAAGACAAGCTTCATGACGTTATTCACATTGCATTGTGGGTCTCTAAGACAAGCTTCGTGACGTTATTCACATTGCATAGTCGGTCTCTAAGGCAAGCTTCATGACGTTATTCACGTTGCATTGTGGGTCTCTAAGACAAGCTTCATGACGTTATTCACATTGCATTGTGGGTCTCTAAGACAAGCTTCGTGACGTTATTCACATTGCATTGTGGGTCTCTAAGACATGCTTCGTGACGTTATTCACATTGCATTGTGGGTCTCTAAGACAAGCTTCGTGACGTTATTCACATTGCATTGTGGGTCTCTAAGACAAGCTTCGTGACGTTATTTACATTGCATTGTGGGTCTCTAAGGCAAGCTTCGTTACGTTATTCACATTGCATTTTTACCGAATTCGAAAAAAATGGCTCTACTTATTATTTTTGTTGCCGACCGCTGGCTTGTGATGATGAACAGAGTAAGACGGCGTTCTTCACTCATTTTCAGAGGGGGGCCACTTTCGCCAATAAGACATCACCAGTGTGAGGGCCACCACAACATTCAAAACCATTGCGTGTTTGGACAGCACGATGATGAGGGACGGGGGGGGGGGGTGTTTTCACTCTTTGTGTCTTGTCGGGGGACCGCACACGTCAGGGACGGCACGTCAGGGACCGCACTAAAGGCCACCAGGGCCCACCAGTGGCACGTGGTCCTTGCAATGAAGAACAGTGGTGTACAAGGATCCGTGCTTGGCATACCGCACCTCTATCCTGAGCCTCCATTTCTCTGGCTGGCGTACTCCTTTGTAAGATCCCTCCCCACCTGCTCCCACACATCAACAACAACAATAGCATTATCAACAATGGAATCAGTCATGCGGAAATGTATAGCAAAATACTCTGAACGCACGTTTCTAAATGTGGAGGGGAAAAAACCGGAGGATGCGGGGAACAATCCACACGACCGCAGGGAGAGAGAGACATGCAAACTCCACACATACAGGAGTCAGGGTCGGGATCGAACGCACGACCTCCTGCATACCAGGCGAGGTAGTTAACATCTCCTAGCCACTGTGGCGCACCACATAGTTTGTTGTCCTTCCCCCGCACCTCCGATTAGCACGGTTGGCAACGTACGGTGCGAAAGACGTTCAACATAAACACACATAAACAACATGAACAGCAACAGTCATCTATGACAGCCACAACCTCACCAATAACAGAGGCACTAAGCATTTGGGGCGTTGATATAACCCAGAGAAAGAGCGTTTGCCACTTGCTTCAGAGGTTCTAGTCCCGCGGCTGCACTGGTTAATACTGCGGTGGGTAATTACCATAACAGACTGAATAATAATTAAAATGTATAATGCGCATTCCATCCTGCATGAAAATCAGAATAAAACAAAAACAGAATCAGGGCAGCCGACCAAACTAACGTGCACTTTAAAGAGATGGGTTTTCAAAGCAGACTTAAAATATATCTACCGACTCTGATTGCCCTGATTTCACGTGGCAAGGCGTTCCATAACTACGCGTGACAGTAATTGCAAAAGAGTAAGCCACTGCGTATCGGTGTCACGGTGTCAAATTCACCAACTTTTTATTCTTCAAATTCCCGTTAAACAACGAAATTGGGGAAACGCACAGCAATCACACCCAGCCATCACTCACGGAAATCGGTGCCCCCTTACTTTGAAAACCATAGCAGCATTCGGCCGATTCTTTCATGGGTGAACCACGCACAAACTATCTCCATATATATAAGGCAAAGTTGTGATTGTGTGTGTCTGTTCAAAATGTTTAGCGTACTTCCCGACATGCAACACACTTGAAATTTGCCATGTGGGTACTTTCCAGACTGTACACCATGCAAAAATTATAAAAATAGACTTTTGTTTTTTTTGGGGGGGGGGGAGCTCAATAATGCATTTCTTTTTTGCACGGCAAGTGAGCTGTGACGTCAAATCTGTCACGTGACCCGCGCACGTGGAAGCGTGACGCATTGTAGTATAGCGGTTAGCGGCTGTCTGTGTGTGTAATCTGTGTGTCTGTGTGTGTAATCTCTGTGTGTGTGGAAGCGTAACGCATTGTAGTGTAGCGGTTAGCGCTACGCTGCGCTACGAACCCGGCGACCCGAGTTCGATTCCCGCTCACGGCCACCACCGGTGACGATTATTTTCACCGGTCCTGGGCCTCCCCTAGGTCGACTCAGCATCAAACGAGTAACTGCTCTGCTGTGTGAACATCGCCACTGGGGAGACAAAGGCGGCGAGCGTGGTGAATCCTGGTCCCGGGCGAAGCCGGGTGGTACAGCTCCTATCACATATGCTGAAGCTACATAGGCAGCATGATGACTCTGCTGATGAAGGTGGTGATTGTGACCAACCTCCGGTTAGATGTTTTTGCATTTGAACAAATGCTGCTAAAATTTAGCAATTCACTCAGACGGGGCCGTGCCGCTGATGGAATGTGTAATTGTTAATTGTTCGCATGTTTCCGGACAACTATGGGAATGCGTGCAACTGTAATACGCTCATTGCAGAATCTCTGTCGTGGAGGAATCCGATGAGCTATACATCTCTTTAAACTTCATTTGGAGCTATACATCTCTTTTTTGACAGATGTCCAGAAGTGCCGCTTGATGGGATGTGTGAATTTTTTTTTTAAATTTTAATTGTTCGTGTTTGGGGGCAACTATGGGAAGGCGCGCACTGCAATACACTTATTTAGTTTGCAAATAACAATAATAACAATTACAATAAATCATGGTGATGGTGATCGTGACGGCCTTCGCGCGAGCTACCGTCACCTTTACGAAAAGGCGACTTCCTCTTGCTGCTGCTGCCGCCGCCGCCGCCGCCGGTACTCGAGGAGGAGGGGGAGGAGGAGGAGGCAGCGAGACCCCGCGCGAGGAGCCGCAGGGGGAGGGAGATGTCGGCGTGAGGAGGATAGAGGCGAAGTGTGAGAAGCCTGCACGAGGCGCGGTCCGCACGCCTCAGCATGGAGGCCGCCATTGTCACGACTGCGCCGGAACCGGATCCTCGGGCCTCCTCGCGGATCCGGTTCCTCTACGGCGCCCCCCCCCCCCCCCGTTGTGACGTCACCGCTTGAATTGTTCCACTCTTGACGGAAGCAAAAATTATCCAACATGTGGCCGTCGCCTGACGAAGCTGGTTGTAATTACCTGCGAAACGTCGTACTCGGATTGTAAAGTGTTGTAGCTTGGCTCTCCAGTGACGAACCCTTACCGGTTGGCTGTGTCGGTCGGTGGCGGATTTAATGACACAACATTTATATATTTATCCACGGTACAACCCCCCCCCCCCAAAAAAAAACCTCTATCTTATCTTATATATTTATATATAAATACAAATGTAAATGTTCGTTTGTTCAAAATTTTAAATCTCCGAAAGCTCTTCACCGACTGCTTTGAAATTTTGACACAACGTTGCATTCGAATACACGCATGTTTATATATACCTACTATGGTTTTATATACCTACTATTATATAGATGTCACACCTGTGACAGGTAAAAATATGCTTTTTAAAAAAAAACAGCGCCATCTGTTGGACGTAAAAGCAACACACGCTATACTAAATATTTTACGATTCCATTTCAATGTTTCAGATTTACGATCCTTTTACGATTTCCCAAATTTCCAATTTTACGCTTCCATTTCAATGTTTCCGATTGCATTGTTAAATTGAATTTTCATCGATTTCGATTTATTTTCATTTCGATTTAATTATTTCGTGTGACGTTACATCAATCGCTGGAAGTTGGGAACAGAAAGGTGCCGGTTGATCTGACCTCAGGACGAATTTCATTGCCTCATAACTTCTGCAATTTAGTGACGTCATAACAAGAATTGGTTGAAAAAGTATTTCCCAATATTCAAACCAATTATAAGAATCACGATTGGCTGAGCGAACGAGCTATTATTCTTGCGGCCAAGAACAAAGACGTCTAAGAAACTTAATATTATTCGGTCTAACATTCGAAGCGAGGCAGTCACATACACAAGTCCGTCGACACTGTTGTGGAAGCAGATGAAGCGGTTAATTATCCAACAGAAATTTTTGAATTCACTTGATCTGCCAGGGATGCCACCGCACGCACTGCAGTTGAAAATCGGCGTGACAATTATCATGTTGCGAAATATCAACCAGCCAAAGCTTTGCAACGGCACGTGGCTTGCAGTAAAAAAATAATAATGAGCGAAGTCATTGAAGCAACAATCTTGACAGGACCTTTCAAAGGTGAAGATGTCCTCATTCCTCGCATTCCTATGATTCCAACGGATATGCCATTTCAATTTAAGAGATTGCAGTTCCCAATTCGATTGGCGTTTGCAATCACCATCAACAAAGCTCAGGGCCAATCTTTAGAATTGTGCGGTTTAGATCTAGACCACGGATTGCTTCTCACATGGACAATTATATGTTGCGTGTTCTAGAGTCGGCAAAACCAGACGATCTCTATATCTACACAGGCAATGGAACAACAAAAAATATTGTATACCCACAAGCATTGTGAAATTAAATATTGTAGAAACGTGCGCTTTCTCTTTGTCTTCATTTTCCATTTAACCAGACTGAGTCACAGCAACGCGTGGCCGGGCACAGCTAGTTATGGTATAAAATATCTTTGTCTTGCGCAATTTAGATCGTTTTATAAATTAGTTGCGCATTCAATAGCCGCACGGCGCTCGTCGCACTGGTTCGTGGTTTTCTCTACGAACCCGGCGACCCGAGTTCGATTCCAGGCCGCGGCCAAGGTTTGGTGGCAAAGCAGTGTGTGGACGTCTGTGCGAAATGAGATTGTATAGCTCACCGGATTTGCTCCAGTATAAATACAGATGGCTGATTCCGAGTGTTAAACTGGCCGCGTTCCCTCCGCGAGGTTGACTCGGCACTAAATCGAGTGGCCTGGTCGACGCTGTGTGTGTGTGTGAACATCGTACCTGTCAAACCCTTATCAATGCAGACCTTATTACGGATCAATTCAGACCTTACTGGTCACCCCGTGCCGCTTATAAATCTCAACGTTCATCCTACAAAGTCCCATCACAAGGGAGAAACGCAGACACAAAAATATGTTTTTTGCCCGTTTCGAAACGGCTGTACGCCGTATGAACCTGTAAACTCAATTCCCCTGTACGAGAATACGGGGTAAACCGTATGGATTGACAGATATGTAGTGTAGTAGTCTATAGTAGTAGTCTATAGTAGTGGTCTAAAGTATGGTAGTTTATAGTAGTGTCATACCTGTCAACCCCTTATCAGCGCCTACCTTATTACGGACCAATTCAGACTATAGAGGTCACCCCGTGCCCCTTATAAATCTCAACGTTCATCCTACGGTTGTTCGAGCACGGCTAACATCAGTGGTGTGGCAGTGGCCAAAGCCACGAGTTGGACCCTCCCCCACCCCACCGTGATAACCACCATGAGATTTGTTTTCAACAGTTTCAGCATTGGAAGTAATACCGTTTCTAAATCTTGACTTAAAGCTTTCGTGACTGCAGGAATTCATATTATTTGGGTCTTTCGGTAAAGTCACGTAGAATAGGCTCAAAGAAAATAACAAAAATAACAAAAGACGACGTTTCGATCGCAACACAAGCGGTCGCCTTATTTTGTTTTTAACCGTAGAGAAACGTAAATGCGACGTAACGGAATGCTTGGAATGACGGCAACGTGAGTAACACAACATTGGACGGACAGCCTCCGTTTGTGGGGCACTCATTTCGTTCGATACGCGCCAATTGCGCTGCAAAGAGGTACCGCGAAGCTGTTGAGTTTGCCGCAGCCTCCAGTTTGTAGAAACATTGTGATGTCTCCAAGTCGGAGCGCGCGCCTCTGCCGCGTTGAACGTCCGTGACCGCGAGCGTCACTATGACCCGATGGGGACAATGGGGAGGCCACGATGCTGCAGAGGACTGGGCACCACCCAAATCTTGGGGCTCCCACCTAGCCGATGGCCGCATCCACCAACGCCGCATTTGACCAGCGTGGAGAAGTATGGCCACAAAACCCGCATTCCATCAGCAGGGGGACCGGCCAGGCGCCGTCAATGATGACATTTGTGCTGCGTGATTGTTACCGGTCCACGAGGTGTGCGGCGATGTGTGTTGGTGCATTAATATCGATTCAAATGGAGCCAACAATGTTTAATTAAGTCTGCATTGTATTATACGCATTTGTTAATTATATGCCAATGATGATGTAAAGCCATCGTATGCCAATGATTGCTCAATTACGCAATAATGCAATCACTAATTCATCCAATGATCAAATCATTCAACCACCCAATTATCCAATCACTCACTCTCTCACAAACTCATCCAATCACGCAAATCATCCATTCACGAAATCGCTCAACAGCCAATCAATTATACGGCAATCTCCCAAACAATCTCTTAGCCGGCTGGCACGGCTTGCGTGAGGCCGCGGGGGTGGTGGGGGCTATAAGAAGAGCCCCTCGGCCACAAAATAACTCAGACGTCCGTCTCTGTGTCGTCTCTTGCCGTGTCGATCTCCAGCCTCGCCCTGACAACAACAACAACCACAACCATGGCGCCGTCAACTCAGAGAGCGCGGTCGACATCATCATCATCGCGACCATCGTCAGTGGTGTCTCCTTCGTCTGCCGCCCTATCATCATCATCGTCGTTGTCTATTGGTGGAGGGGGCTCCGTCTTCCCGTCGTGCCTGGCTCTCCCGTGGACGAGGAAGATGATGTTGAGACGCAAGATGAGAGGAGGTGGTGGTGGTGGTGGTGCTGGACGGCTGTGTGCCTCGGTGAGACGAGCCTGCAGTGGGCTTGTCCTGGGGCGACGTTGCTCCAGTCATTGTTTGCTTGTTGTTCTTGTTGTTCTGTTGTTCTTGTTTGCCTGCGGGACCACTCGACCGACGCAAACATTTCTTCTGGCGGCTCACTCCTGGTGACGAAACGCATTCGCCTACCTCCCATACCACGAATCCGAAAGTGTTCATATTTATCTGAACGAAAACAATTTTCAACTCGGTTGCATTAACGTCTTGGGGGTTGGTTTAATCGGGGTAGATTACCCAACTTCATTTTGACGTTGAATATCCGTGGTAAAATATGAATTTTTAATGTGCGAAACGGCAGAAAGGTGTATCACGTGGTGTCATCGTAGTCCGGATCGAGCTGCGTGTGCATTGGAGGAGCCATCACGTACCCCGTTTGGTGGTCCTGGCACCACGCTGAGAACCACGAATCTAAACCTATAGAACCTCTTGGCAGGGTTCGGTCAAGGTTGAAGGTCCCAAGGCTGGTGGGAGGGCAAGAGCCCATGTGTGTAGCCTATTTACATTTTTGCAAAAAGTTTTTAAACTTATTCGTTTTGCCTAAAGTAGCATTTTAAAAATATATAATTTCCCACTCAAGGGTAAATTCTTCAAACCTAAAATATCTCGCTACGCTTTTTTATACATTGTTTTGTTGCAGAGGTTCGATTAGCACGGTTGGCGACGTACGGTGCGAAAGAAGTTCGTGCATGCACAACATGAGCAACATTTCGTCGGCACCGTTCGTAAAGAAGTCTTATCATTACTGACCATTCACAGCTCAGGGCTGCGACTGGTTACTCGGTGTAGCCGCCAGAGGGCGAAATCGACATCGGCGGGTAGGGTAATTTCAGAATCTGACTCCAGCGGGGTCAGAACGTTACACAAACGACGATTTGCTAAACGCAAAGCGACGCATAATCAACCCGCGCATGTACTTCTCGTATCCGTCTCGCCAAAGTTAAATAGTGTAATGATATTTTTTGTTTTACATCCCAATTGGCCACACTACCGTGCTTCTGGGAGTCTGTAATTTTCGATGGCGTCTGTTCAACACAATCCCAAACTCTTGACTGGTTTTCAATGTTCTGTTTTGTCTAATAAGACTTGGGCTTTTGTGACTCGATGCTGTTGAACTGCAGGGTGTTTTTTTTTCTAGACACTGACCAAAGATTGGATACTGGGCGATGCCTTGACACCAGTCTGCTCCCACCAATGCTTTTGTTAACTCATTTTGCACCATCGATGTTATCGGAGGTGCCGGTGGATGGAGACCACCAAACTAAACGCAAAGCCGTTGTAAAGAAATGCGATTTTCAATATCCTAGATGACGACTTAAAAGTGCGTGGCTTCCTAATGTAGGAAGGAAGAGCGTTCCAGACGGCTGCGAAGGTGCATATGGTGACTCTCTTTTTGTTTGTTTGCTGGATGGCAAAAACTGCTGCTCCCAGGATGACCGTAGCTCATGGTGGTTTGTACTCCTTGGCGAAACCAACTAAAGTATTGTGGTTCATTTTGTGGCAAGCACTTTGTGGTCATGAGTGCGACCCTTTCTCTAATGTATTACTTGATACACGTGGTCCTCGTTTCAAATGCAATTTGTAACACGCACGCCGGTTGATACTTTCTCTCTACAATTGAATTTGTGGCTATGCTGACCCGAACTTTGAACCGTGTGGTTAAAACCACGAGTCTTGCGCTCATCCTGCAACCCGAGAATGAAGGGAAAACCAAATCTATAAGCATAACCTCTCTCACCGGGAGCCCTCGTGACATCTCCAGCAGACCTCTGGTTGGCTACGTACAGTGTGAAAGAAGTTCAACGTTGCCCTTTATCTCTGGGGAAAATCTTGCTGTCATGCCATGTGACCTAGAATGTCGTGTCTGTTCAATGTGACCACCCCCCCCTCCCCAATGTCACACCAAATCAGGAATGTTCTTTAGACCTGCCACTGCCCGACACGGCCAATTGGTAATGTTTGTCACCTAAGCAAACGTGCCAAACTACTTGCTGGTTCAGCCCTAGCCGGTGTTTGAAAGTGAAACCCACAACGTTTACCATTTGATTAACAGCACGGTGACAATTTCGCTGTTGGTGGTGGTTTAAACGACACATTTACGCGGCTTTAACCCAACCGCTCCCCGCCCCCTGGACTATTGCTCGCGAAGGCCTGCGTCTTAAACGTCCTTGAGGCTCGTTGCTTCTGGCGAGCTCTGTTTTACAAAAGCCGCCGCCTCTGACCTGCTCTCAGCCACCACCTCGTCCATCTCTACACGGTGGTCCATGTGTCTTGTGACCCCCCCCCCACCCCGGATTAAATTATTGCGAAAAATAAATGTTAGGTGGGGGGGGGTAATTAATTGGGTGGGTCACATGACCTCTAGACCACCGTGTCCATGCTGTAGCTCCCCCACGGTACGTCTGATAATTGTATTCACTGAAATCTATTCTTTTAAACCCCCCCCCCCTGCTCTTAGCAAGGTTGCTTTAACGAGGCCTTTTTAAAATAAATTTGCAGGAGGGTTTAATCCTCGTGTCACCTTAGGTGAATGAATATACCTTTTTTTACATAATAACATATCCCAAGTAGTCCCCCGTTAACTTCAACGCTGTTGCAAATGCATACCGGATGTGAGGGTATGACTTCCCGTTTTAATTTAATCTTGGTTTTTGTTTTTAAATGTTCGCAGACTGCCCTGCGGTACCAGTCCCTGCACAAGATTCTGCAGCTGCGGTCACGGAGGCGAAAACGCATGCTGCTGCTGCAAAACGTCACCGCCACGTGCTCCATCCTGGACCTCCCGACTACCACCTCCCTGTTGGAACCCACCGCTTTCTCCTCTCTGCTGGGCCCCACCATCGCCTCTGTGACGGGCACTTCGTCCACGCTAGATCGTGCGATTGTGGCGACGGACGATGTGCCGGGTCAGCTGGCCTTTACGCGTGAATCCGTTTAAAAGTCCATAAGCAATGGTGGCATGCTTGTGTGCCGCGCACCTGCCATTTGTCACCCATGGGTCACGTTGTTTTGTGGACGTCTGTTTTTAATTCTGCAGTTAAAAGTATATTGGGGGGGGGGGGGGAAGGTTCCACAATGGGGGTGATGTGCATTGTCGTGGTGTTTTGCAGATGTGCTTAATTTGCTAACACCCCAGCATGTGCCCAATCTCCAGAAGCTTGGCAGGTTTTCACTTTGATGGCGTTTAGCTGGGCCATAGGCATGCTCCCGTGGATGGGTTTTATAGGTGGCGTGTGATCTTGTTGTCAACCAGCTATGACTAATTGAAATGGACATGTCTGTATTTTCTTGACGAGGGAGATTCTTCATGTTCGATGGTGTCCAACGGACTCCTGAAAAACAACGTGGCCTTTCATCCACGCTCGTGTTTTTGACGGTGTGGTGCGTTCGGTTTTGTCAAACCATTTTTTAAAATGCTCAACCCTTTTTTTTAGAAGTTGTTTCGTTTTAAAGTGTCGTGGTAATTTGAAGCGGTTGACCCTAAGATTTCCCAATTTGTTGACGTACACCACAGTCTATGCCATCTCTTGTACATTTTTACTTTAAATAGTTTTGTCTTTTTCCATGTTGGTGTGACATTCAAATTGCACCTTTTTTGTGCTTTAATAAAATGACTTATTTTAATTGTTGCTTGCTGGGCATTACATTCTTAAACGTTTTTATATTTTATTGGCTAAACTTTCACGCACGGTGTACAAAGTAAAACCATTTTGTATGGCTTGCATTTTTATTAGAATGCTGTTATTTGGTTCGGGACCAGATCGCGATCCTGGTCTGAATTCTCACTTGCTTAAACAAAATAAGCCTGTGCTTTTATTACAAATGGCTTCATTGGCTAACGTTGTAATCCGCTTAATATTTTTATGTAGCCGCACAATCTTAAATATGAAAGATGTAATCCCCCATGATCTACCTAATTAACGGATTCCGGTTTGAAGCTTCAACTCTGGTTTTATTCCGGTTTATCAAGTATTTCCATGGCCCAGCCACACTCCCCCCTGGCCTTCAGACTGCTGGGGCAAGTGGGTGTGATGTGCGTCGTGGTATTAGCGAGCACACACACACACGTCTCTCGAAGCGCCACTTGATGAACACGTTCATGACACCAGCCTGTAAAATTACACCCCCTGCCCCTACCTAAAATGTCCGGCTTATTTTAATGTCACGTGATTCCCTGCCACGCCCCCCCCTTAATCTCGGCGAAGTCTCGTGACCAGAAATGCCCCCCCTGATCACGTGATTTAAAACGCACCCCGCCCCTCATCCCCCCCCCCCAAGAGCGATCACGTGACCTAGCACAGCTGCCCCCCCCGTTCCCCTTTTCTCTCCCACCCCCCCCCATGTTTTCCCACGCCGCGATCACGTGACTCATCACGCGTCCCCCCCCCCCCTCGTAACCCCCCCCCCCTATGCTGACACGTGACTCGATTTGGTCCTTCCCATTTCCCCCTCCCCCTGGCTGGTCCCATCTCCCTACCCCGCCCCCCCCATTTTCTTTCCCCCGCCCTCTCATAGTTTCATTTATTTGGTATAGCCCTGTGAGCCATTCGGCTCTTGAATCGGGTGCAACGGCAACAAACAAAAACATGAACAAGAAAACATCTTAAAGTGACTATGTGTGACTGTGCAAACAGAAAATCCAGGAAAAAAAACATCAAAATATTCCTGAAATAGCACCGTACACCAACGCTGTGTGCAAAAATCCCAGTGGGATGCAAATCAAACAACAACCACAAGAAGACAACTTAGATTAAGTCTATTGGCCCCTCCTACTTTCCGTCCCGCCCACTCCCCACCTCGTCTTTCCCTCGCCGCGCTCCATCCCCGCCCCATCGCGTGACCCCGCCCCCCCTCGCGTGACCCCGCCCCCCTCGCGTGACCCCACCCCCCTCGCGTGACCCCTCCCCATCTTCTCCACTCGACCCCACCCCACGGCAACGTCAAGCCACGTGGCTCCTCCCCCACCCCCCCCCCATTTCGACCTCTCCTTATCATTATAGCCCCGCCCTCGTCTCCTACCTGCCCCGCCACACCATCGACCCCGCCCCCAACACCACGATCACGTGACCCGGCATGTCCGCGCGTCGCCGCCGCCTGTTGCTGCTGCTGCTGCAAGAGGCGGTGTTGGAGTTGAGGGTGAGGAGTGGGCGGGTGGCTCGGTGTGTGTGGGGGGTGGGGTGTGGGGGGGTAGCCACCTCCCCCGCGCTCAGGCTCCCCCCGCCCCTACCGCGCGCGCGCCTGCAATGTCCCAGTGACGACCATGGACGCGGCGGGGCTGCAGAGACCTCCGCCTTTGCACGGGTGAGCGCGCTGGGCGAGGCGCCATTGCGTGCGTGCGTGCGCGTGTCGGAGTTTGCGGGAGAGGTACTGGTGAGGGGAGTAGAGGCGGCGGCGGTGGGTGGGGAAGGGAGGGAGGGTGAGTGGCGGCGGGCGGCTCTGCGGCGTCTGCCTGGGCAAGCCCGGGCTCGGCGAAACCGAGACCAGGCCGCTCGGGCCTAGGCCGAGGCTCGGCGAACTGTACGCGCGAACGGGTTATCGCTTTGCACGCACTGTACGCACTGTACGCGATTGCACCGCCGCGCCTAAGCGCGGCTGCAGAGGGATGCGTCGCCTCAACGTTTGCGTGCTCTCGTGTAGATTGCACTGCGCGGTTCGTGTGCACGCGAATGCACCGGCGTGCGCGTGCGCCGAAGGCGAGTACTGTATACAGTAGCGTGTACTGCAACGCGGTGCCCAGTGAACGCCCTTGTGAGTGAACGCGTTGCCCCGCGCGCCCTTCTAGCGCACGCGAGGCTGTTGCGTTGTGCCGATGCACAGTGCGTGCACGCGTGCTGCACATACACACACACATACACACACACACTCGCACGCACCGGGTTCTATGCAGCGAGTGATTCGTGAGCGTCTTGCGCCGCTGGTGCATTGCACCGATGCGTTTTCAAACACTCCGTACAATGTTGACCGGTATTGGCCCAAAACAAGCCACAATCCCGAACGTTGCGCATGCAAACTGCTCAATTTGGGATTGCTCATAGCGGCAGTCGCGACATCGTCCAGCCTCCCACGACTGCGAAAATTTGGCACAAGTCTCCAGATACGGTGGCTAGGAGATGTTAACTACCTCGCCAGGTACGCAGGAGGTCGTGGGTTCGATTCCGACCCTGACGCCTGCTGCTGTATATTTGGAGTTTGCGTGTCTCTCTCTCATCATAATCACGGTGGCTAGGAGATGTTAACTACCTCGCCTGGTACACAGGAGGTCGTGGGTTCCATCCAGACCCTGACGCCTGCTGCTGTATATTTGGAGTTTGCGTCTCTCTCTCATCATCATCACGGTGGCTAGGAGATGTTAACTACCTCGCCTGGTGCACAGGAGGTCATGGGTTCCATCCAGACCCTGACGCCTGCTGCTGTATATTTGGAGTTTGCGTGTCTCTCTCTCATCATCATCACGGTGACTAGGAGATGTTAACTACCTCGCCTGGTCTGCAGGAGGTCGTGGGTTCGATCACAACCCTGACGGCTGTATATTTGGAGTTTGCGTGTCTCTCTCCCCGTGGTCGCGTGGATTTACATTTCCACATCACTTGTGATAGCCAAGTCGCGTCTGAAAGACAGCTTCATAACTCAATGGCCCTTACCTGTTAATATACAAATGTTCTAATAATAATGAGGATGTTGTACACGATCACGCGTCCACGCACCGCACCAGAACGCGCTGGACACAATTGCCCAGGTCGGCAAATTCTCGGTACACTTTGTGCACGCTTTGCCGTGAACATGCGCGCACACACGTGTGCGCTACAGTCAGTGCACCACAGACAGTGTTGTAGTATCCTCTCATGCAGTGCGTGTTGTACGAACCGTGCTGCATTAGGCTTCCACTTGACGAATTATGCACGAGTGCGCGGAGGGGAGTAGAGTGAGATGAGATGGGGAGAGGTAGGAGAGTGAGTGGAGGGGAGTAGAGTGAGATGGGAGGGGAGAGGTAGGGGAGTGCGTGGAGGGGAGTAGAGTGAGATGAGATGGGGAGAGGTAGGTGAGAGTGTGGAGGGGAGTAGAGTGAGATGAGAGGTAGGAGAGTGGAGGGGAGTGAGATGGGAGGGGAGATTGTGGAGGGGAGTGAGATGGGAGGGGAGATTGTGGAGGGGAGTGAGATGGGAGGGGTGATTGTGGAGGGGAGTGAGATGGGAGGGGAGAGTGTGGAGTGGAGTGAGATGGGAGGGGAGAGTGTCGAGGGGAGTGAGATGGGAGGGGGGAGTGTGGAGGGGAGTGAGATGGGAGGGGAGAGTGTGGAGGGGAGTGAGATGAGAGTGTGGAGGGGAGTGAGATGAGAGGGGAGAGTGTGGAGGGGAGTGAGATGGGAGAGTCTGGAGGGGAGTGAGATGGGAGGGGAGAGTGTGGAGGGGAGTGAGATGAGAGTGTGGAGGGGAGTGAGATGAGAGGGGAGAGTGTGGAGGGGAGTAGAGTGAGATGAGAGGGGATAGCGAGGCAGTGGGGGAGTCCGTGTCTCATCTCGATTGTGATCTTAAAAACACAAATACGGTACTCGTATTTGTCTTTGGTGTGCATCATCAGTGCACTGCTCCCATGTGCTGCTGCCCTCGTGAACTTAGTTTACGAGCAGCCCGAGAGAGCTCATCGGGGGCGAGACAAAGGAGGAAGTCACGGTGGGCACGCAGGCGGTGCAGGGCAAGCAAGGAACAACACGGACACGACAGTCAAACGGGCAGAGAGCACGGCCTCTGTGCAGCGTCTGTACAGCAACAGCAACTCTCAGTGTCACCCGGCGAACCACCACCACCACACACTGACTGCATACAACCACACACTGACTGCATACTACCACACACTGACTGCATACCACCACACACTGACTGCATACCACCACACACTGACTGCATACTACCACACACTGGCTGCATACTACCACACACTGGCTGCATACCACCACACACTGGCTGCATACCACCACACACTGGCTGCATACTACCACACACTGACTGCATACCACCACACACTGACTGCATACCACCACACACTGACTGCATACCACCACACACTGACTGCATACCACCACACACTGACTGCATACCACCACACACTGACTGCATACCACCACACACTGGCTGCATACCACCACACACTGACTGCATACCACCACACACTGACTGCATACTACCACACACTGGCTGCATACCACCACACACTGGCTGCATACCACCACACTGGCTGCATACCACCACACACTGACTGCATACCACCACACACTGACTGCATACTACCACACACTGGCTGCATACCACCACACACTGACTACATACCACCACACACTGACTGCATACCACCACACACTGACTGCATACCACCACACACTGACTGCATACAACCACACACTGACTGCATACCACCACACACTGACTGCATACCACCACACACTGACTGCATACCACCACACACTGACTGCATACCACCACACACTGACTGCATACCACCACACATTGACTGCATACAACCACACACTGGATGCATACCACCACACACTGGCTGCATACCACCACACACTGGCTGCATACCACCACACACTGACTGCATACCACCACACACTGACTGCATACCACCACACATTGACTGCATACAACCACACACTGGATGCATACCACCACACACTGACTGCATACCACCACACACTGGCTGCATACCACTACACACTGGCTGCATACCACCACCGTGCACTGGACACCACACACACGCACGCGACCAGACTGTCGGGGCAAGTGCTGTCAGCGAGTAGAGCCTCTGAAGGCCGGCACTGGGTGGCCAACACCACCACCACGCCCGGCCGCCTTTGTCTCCCCAGTGGTGGGTGTTTACAACGCCGCACCAGGTACTCATTTAAAGCTGAGTCGACCTAGGGGAGGCCCATGACCGGTTCAGGTAATCGCCACTGGCGTTGGCCTTCGAGCGAGCGGGAATGGAACTCGGCCCGCCGGGTTCGTAGGGCAGCGCGCTCACCGCCACACGACCACAGTAACGTACACAGCACGGAGGCCTCTAGACCATCAAAGGCTGCACACCACCACCACCACCACTAAACCTCCCCCCACACCATCAACGACAAACGCTGGACACCAACCAAACCACTGCAATCCACCGAGCCACACTGCTGCACGAGCGCACTCGAACGCAAGCGCCGTGAACACACCGCCGTCGGTGCACTTTACTCCGAATCTCTGTGCCCGATGTGTGCGGGATGAGAGCCAGGTCACGCGGGCGGCTGCTGCTGCTGCTGCGTGTGCCGAGATCGCGTGTGGGCTACGCGTGTGTTGTGGGGAGCGCCGGGCTTTACTGACGCGGCGAGCCGAGTTCAGTTCCCGGCTCGCGGCCACCAACCGGTGAGGATCGGCGGAAGCGGTCCTGGCACTGACTCCCCCTGGGTCGACTCGGCCTCAAAGTGATTGCCTGGTGCAGTGTGTAAATATTGTCACGGGGGAGACAAAGGTGGTCGGGCGTGGTGCTGGCCAGCCACCCGCTCGCGTGCCGCGCCGGCCTTTATAGGTGCTGCTCGCTAACAGCGCTTGCCCCCAAAAGTCTGTTCAGGCGATATACGGGGTGTGAGGGGAGGGGGGTGGATCTTTGGCTTTGTGTGGGAAGCGTTTCACGGGGACACGCGAGAGGTCGCACGTGCTGCTGCTGCTGCCGCTGCCGCCGCTGCCGCCTGGAACTCGCCCGCCTAGGGCAAAGGAGCAGAGAGGGTGCACGATCAGCGTTCGCGCGCGCGCGCGCTGCGTCTCGGAACGCTGGACTGCTCACGTTCGCAGAAGCGTGTGTGTTCCTCCCTGCTTGCAAGACGCAGCCCTTCCACATGCAACAAGCACACGCTGCCGTGATGCTACGGCTCGCACCGCTGGACCTTGCGGTCCAGAGGTTGCCGGTTCGGGTCGAAAGCAGCGGTGCAAGTTTTCACCACGGTCGAATCGGCAGGTCACGTGTGGTGGCTAGGAGATGTCAACCACCTCGCCTGGCATGCAGGAGGTCGTGCGTTCGATCCAGACCCTGACGCCTGCTGCTGTATGTTTGGAGTTTGCGTGTCTCTCTCTCTCTCATCATCATCATCATCACGGTGGCTAGGAGATGTTCACTCACTCGGCTGGTAGGCAAGAGGTCGGTGGTTCGATCCCGACCCTGACGCCTGCTCCTGTATATTTGGAGTTTGTGTCTCTCTCTCTCATCATCATCACGGTGGCTAGGAGATGTTAACTACCTCGCCTGGTATACATGAGGTCGTGGGTTCGATCCAG